GCTTTTTAGCATCTGGAAGGGACGTTGTATTGAACATTATAATGCTGTTTGTACAGTTTTTCAATCCTGCTTTAGTTTTAGTTTTAGCTTGGTCACAACCAAGTAGTCTATGTGAAATTGTATGTGCTTTTTACTTTATTCTTATGATTTTCGTGGACCTTCTGAATTTTCTACTTTTACAAATGTAATCTATTTGGTTTTCTGTAGAGTGGACCAGTGACTATATATGGTTTTATATATGGTTTTATGGGGATAAGATGTGCCATCCACAACAGCGTAGTTGAAAAGAAATGGATTTTCCAGTCTTTCGACGTTGTCATTCATTTCTCCCGGTCCATTTAACCTGATGATACTTACATACCTGGCAGTGTCCATTTCAACCTTTCGGTTCAGATCCCACACTAAAAGAGTCAAGTCTTTTACCGATCATTCTCCCAGAATGAAACATAACCTTCCATAAATCTGATCTTAAATGTCTTTGCTACTATGATTGATGATCGTGTAAGTCTGGATATTAGTCATTGTAATCCCTTTCTTATTTGTTTAGAATGGTGCTATAGTGATCCTAGAACAATAACATTCCCATGTTATAAGCGCTTTTTCTGCTTCTTTAAACTGCATTAATGAACATCTCATGTAACGTTGGGATTTCTCTCTTTATGAGCTTGTGAAAACAAACTATAATTTTCTTCATACATTCATTTGTTTATACGTTAACTATATAAATGTACATTTTATATTTGTTTTGCTTCTAATGGATAACATTATTGGTTGTAAGTTGTAAGTAGATGAAGCGAATTCACATATAAATTTATCCATATTATTCAGTTATGATTGCTGATCAACCATTTCTTAACCTTATGAAGTGGATGATCTGTTTGAAATGCTGTGTATTTCGTGCCTTCTGCCATACCCTTCATTATGACAAGATTTGTTATTATTCATATTTTGAGTATTGATTATCTTCAAGGCTTATTACTTACCACAATATTACCTAAATTTTGGCAAGTTATTTCACTTTAGCCGATACAATATATCTTCTATGATTGCTACGTCAAAATATTCAGATCTTTTTATATGCTAAGCTTTTTATTTAAATTCACCTCCATTAGCATAAAGTAAAAGTTGTAAGCAAAGATAGATAATGGCTAGTAGTCAAATCCAGGAAGCGCGTTTCGCATTGTTTGGACCTCATCTACTGAACGTACCTCCATTCCAAACTTGATGTTCGCTCTTGGACAAGCTCTCTGGATTCGGTAGCTAAGTAGATAACATGATGGCATTTGAAGTGAACAGTACTGGGTTCTAGTCCCAAAGTGAATATCAACTCTGGAATGTAGGTATATCCAGCTGACGAGTCCCGAATAGGAGGAAGTGAGCGTCCTCGATTTCACCACTAGCCACCATCCTCCTTTGTTTATAATGTTTGTGACTTAAACCAATATCAAGATAATCTGCACTGGATGCATATATGCCAATAAGAAACTGATCAATTGCAGTCCAAAATATCAACAGGGTTATTCAAACAACTAATCCAAAAATGAATTGAAAGTTTTTTAAATAAAATGACAAAAAATTAATCATTCATGTCAATAGTAAACCTGCACTTCATGAATTGCCTTTTTCTTTCTATGGAATATATGCATCATTTTATCAACATTACTCTCTTTTCTTATTTCATCAATGCTAACAAACAAAAATTTGTATTCATTTAGAAATATCATTCATTTTATGAAGTTTGTTTGAAGAAAACAAAAGTTCACCAAAGAATTATGTATCATTTGTATGCTATGAATTAGATGTGTACCCTGTATGGGTAAAATAGTTAAAACCTTGTTTTATTCTCATAATTCTGACCTTTGTTTTTTTCTTGATATATATCACAGTGTTTTTAGTGATTAACTCCTTATGAAGAATAAACCTTGAAGTTAAAAATGTCCGATAAACATTTAGGATACGAAATGAATTACTCAAACTAACTTTAACCATTTGTTATCGATATTATTTTGTGTTATTTGTAAGTAGTAAATTTAACATTTTAAAAATATCAGTATAGGAATGTAGAGATTGTTGAGTTTCAAATGTTATCAATGAATAGATGAATATTAGACCACCATTGAAAACGTAGAAACACTGGATAACTTGTTTCGTCTTTTTATGGAACTCCTCTACAGTGAGCATCCACAATCCTGCACTCGGGATTTGAACCCGAGGCCTTCAATCATGCTCGCGAATGCTTAACCTCTAGACCACTGAGTTGATAACCAACGGTGTTAATGTCTTCTTAATATTGACTAACTAAACCATAGTAAATAACTATGAAAAATACTATTGTCAATAATTAACAGAACAAAAATAACTACTTAAATGAGAAAAAACAAACAATTCCTGGATAAGCTACTAATCATTTTACCATGTTTTTACCAATCTATCTTTTGTCACGCATAAATGTCTTTTCAATAAATTCCTTATCTGATGGTATATATTTATTCGTTATTTTGATTCCAGGCTTTGATTCTTGATGTCTAATGACGAAAAAAAGGATCTATAATACATTAGTTTCATTTTCTAATAGTTTATCAATAAGCTAATAGAATTATCATTGGATGTAAAAAAAAACTCCTTATTCTTATAGAATAACAAAAATATTTTTATTAGTATTTAGTTCCATTGCCTGAGGCTAAATTAAGAGAAATATCAAAGAAAGATCAAAGCTCAAAGGTATATTTTTAAAACAGATGCAGAATGGTTAATGTTTTCTCATAAAATTTGATTAGATGAAATATTCACCAACATTATCATATCAGAGAAAATATTGTATCACAATTATCTATACTACTTATTATTAAATTGTTCCTTTAACTGAAGAATTATCTTTTATAATGATTTATTAGAGTAAATTAACTTAGTAAATTCATTTTCCAAGTTATAATTCAATTGAACTATATAGTTAGAAAGAATTGAATTAGATAAATGTTTAACAATTCATTGGGATAGTCCAAGATCTAGACCTGAATACATTCATATAATGTACAAGATAAATACTTACTTTACTTACTTACGCCTGTTACTCCTAATGGAGCATAGGCCGGTGCAAGATGAATAGAATCACTGAAAGATTCAGTCCTACAAAATATTGTACATATGAAGTATGAAAGTGTTTATTCAATGTTTATCATATAAACATTTAATGACTTTTAATTAAATAATTAACAAACGATTGATGATTAGTATAATTTTACTGGTTGAAATCCTGAGTCAATTGAAGCTAGACCACCATGGAAAACCTGAAAACACTAGACGGCCGTTTCGTCCTAGTATGGGACTCCTCAGCAGTGCGGTGGCGCAACTTCGTGGATTGGTTGAAGTCACACATTAATACTGTTGGATGCCGGCTCAGTGGTCTAGTTGGTAAAACGCCTGACGCGAGACTGATAGGTCCCGGGTTCGAACCTCGCGGGGTGCTGGATCGTGGATGCACACTGATGAGGAGTCCCATACTAGGACGAAACGGCCGTCTAGTGCTTTCAGGTTTTCCATGGTGGTCTAGCTCCAATTGACTCATGATTTCAACCAGTGAAATTTCTAAAATCTCCATAAACCCCCTTCCGATTAGTATAATTATCCGTTCTTATTATAATTCATTTCAAATAGAAACCATATTAAGCAATAATTTTAAACAGTTTTTATTGAACGTAAGAAAAAACTGTCTTGATTGTTTGAAATGATGATGAGCACAGATTGTGCAGAATCTGTACAGAGCCTTTTATGTACATCGAACACAAGTCTTATTATGTCAGCGAATACAGTGAACAACTGATCTACAACTCGAGTCAACATTTTATAAAACTGAATGAACTTCATAATTCACTTATATAACTTAACATCAATAGATTGAAACAAATATCTGCTAAGAAATTTATGACTAGCAAAATGGCATTAAAGATTATGTCCAAGGAAAATCACATAAATGTTCGTATAGATCAGCTAACAATAAATCTCTTTTAAATAGTTGTATGGATAGTATTATTTACAGTTAAAGTAATAACATGTGAATATTTGAGTCTCAGAAGGAGTATCAGTTAGATAGAGGATAAAAATGTCTTATTACAAATACTAGTCACTCAACTATATAAGATTATTATAGATTAATATCTAGTTACAGGGATAAATTAGGATAGGCAATGAAAATTTAAATATGTCATTATATTCATTTCATATCAACAATCTTGATGAAAGTAATCTATACTGTTTTCTTGTAGATATTATATGTGAAAATTACATTTGAAATAATCTTAGCCATTAGAATTTTAAAAATTCCAACGTTTCGTCCAACAAACTTGTCTGGACATCTTCAGGGCAATAATCAAAATCAAAATTATTTAAATTTCAATTGCTGAGATTATTTCAAATATATTTTTTACACATATAACATCTTCTCCGTACTCAACGCCCAATTTCTGTCAAACTGTTCGTTCTAATATTCGTATAAATTGGCTCCTTGTGGTTTCCTTTAATATATTCCACTAATATATCTCTTATTCACTTATTATTCAAGCAACTTAGTACTTATCTTAATTCGACTTAACGAAATTGTAGTTATGTGGTGTGGGTTACTGATGTCGACAGATATAAGTAGTATGTATCACCAATCGAAAGTAAAATGTCTGAAGGCAGAAGGTTAAGAAGATCAAAGAAAAGAGAATGAGAACAAGGAATAATTGGTGTAGAAACGAAGAAACAATGAAGTTTGAGACGATCGATTGACATTTCGTAAATGAAGTATTTACTGTATGGTTCTCAGATTTTACTAAGATGTTTTGTAATTTTGTATTCAAATAAATTTGATTGTCCCCACTTATGTTCTCGTTCACTACAGTTATATCTTAAAATTACAAAGTATATTTAATATATCATGTTCTTACTTATTAGAATTAAATTATTAAACGTAATTAAAACTAATGTCCTTCATTTGTTTTTATTGTTACTTCAATTTTTAGTGCCTCGAAATATGTAAATGGCCAAGAAGTCAAACCATAGACTGTTCGGTTTCATGTCAGGTAATGATTAATTTAAATTATTATCTGGGCATATGTTTTAATTGGAAATATTTTATTTTCTTATCAGTATATAACATTATTTGGATAAAGCAAATATAAACTATATCATGGTCCATTATTTTCATAAAAGTGATTTAGTCAATTCTATAACAAGATACCCCAATCGTTTGACTTTTCACTATATAATACCATATAAATATAGCAACCAGAAGAGGGTCCTGTTGGAGTTTAGAGCAAAACGTACTAGTAATATTCATTACATTAATAAAGGCTAACATCATATTGAAATTAATGAAAGCGATGTAATTGATAGGCAATGGATATCTTATTATTAACCAATGAGTAAAAGGTGTACTGCTTGTATTCACTAGCAGAGAGAAATCCCTTCTTAATGCAGATCATATTCTATAGACCAAGTTGAAATGTGGCCACTAGTCTAGGAAACTCAACATTGAGTGCATTATGTTGAGATGAGAGGGTGGTTGGAGGTAGTTGACAGGAAACCCTGGACCTAGGTTCTGGGCTGCTTGAGACTGGTCAGCAAAGCGTACCTGTAATCTTTAGCATCAGTTCTTTCAAAATTTCAGGTGCGCCTTGCTGACGAATGCCAAGCAGTATGAAACCTAGGTCCAGGGTTTCCTGTCAACTACTTTCAACCATCATCTCAAAGAGAAATCCTTACTGAAAGTTATATTTACAAGCGAAACCAGTTTACTGATGCTTAAAGTAGGTAACAATAATTGAGTTCCAGGTAGATGTTAAATCACCCATATTAGTATTTATATTCAGGCTTGATAGTTGAAATCGAGTTAACATTATCGACCAGATAATACTAAATCGTTTGCAAACCAGTGATCGATTGATATGAACACCTTACTCCAATAAAGCGTCTGCTCAGGCTTGCATTTTTCAGCATGAATGCTTGCAATTATAATACTAAATAACACAACTTCATATCACAATAGGAATATTTCAACATTTCAAAATTGTCCTGTTAATATAAGTCAACTTTTACCAGAACCTAGGTCCATTGTCCGATTCGAATTTCAAGAGGATGTATACCGAAAAACCTAAATCATTTATTCTAAGAAATAGACGTCTGACTCATACAAGAGTATAAGTAGAAATAACAATATAGTTTACTCAATAATAACTAAATTACCCGGTATTTTTTTCAAACTCATTACATATACTAATAAAATATCCTTATGTAAATTTACTGAGTAATTATAAACATTAGTTGAATTATTTACATTTGTTAAAGAGAAAAATCAGTAAATTCTGCAGCAATTTGAAGGACTCTCCCGGTCTCCTATAATGTACGAGCATTCCATGTACTTAATTAATGGTTGCTCTAGTTGCCAGATGAGGCATCAGCCTCGTGACTTCCGAAGGAACGTGGCTTTCACCATGAGGCATCATAACTCTTCAAAATGAAAACCTTCTAGCTCCCAGGGCAGAGTTTAAATGGTTTGAAATGTTTTTTCTGGTTAGCGTTTTTTAGCGAGTTAGTTTTTTACGGGATGGGGTGGCTAACACTGTGCCAAACCCCCTTCTTTTATCCGGGCTTGGAACCGGCAGTAGCCCCAGAGAAGCTCCAGGTGGAGTAAATCAGAAATCTGGTTTGCCACATTTTAGTATTGAACAGATTGTAAGTTGTTTTTTATAGCTGTTTATGTTTAGAAAACGAGTAGTTTAGTTGATAGATTTTTGTGTTCATCTGTTTTTGGATTGGGTAGTCAATTTTTGAATCTATTTAATCGGGTAAAATGCATTATATAGTGATCCATTATGTAGTACTTCTATCTTATATAACTCACTTTAATTGTGACTTTAGACATGTTTATATTACTTTGACTAATAATAATGATCCCTGCTATTAAATATGTGAATAATGGCTAGCAGTAAAGTTCAGGACTCCAGTTTTGTTTAATTTGAGACTAATGAGGTATTTGTAGATGCATCCTAGTTTGATTTTCACACTGGAAATCAAAATTAACATGTTTTTCCTCAACTAGCTGTGAAGTCCAGGTAGTTACTCATTTGTACAACTAGTATGATACTTTTATCATCATTAGGACAGTTTGAGTTATTCCGTTGTTGATATTCCTTACTGAGCTTTTATCAGTCTTAGTTGGTATTTTCCCACCCTTTGCGGATAACCTCGATGTAGTCAATTTTGACAAGTTTTGATTCAATTTATGAATTGTGGCTAGCTGATAAGTCTTAAATGGAACAAGATTTGTGTTCAGAAATTCACTGCTAACCACAGTTTATGAAATTGAATAGAAACTTGTTAAAAATGACTTCTTTAACGTAATCCGCACAAGATGAGCAATTATTAACTATGACTGATATAAGCTGGATCAGGAATGTCAACAACGGGGTAACTTAAATAGTCCTAATAATGATGTGGATAATAATAATATCAATAATAATAATGGTAATTAATATATATTTATATCAGGAGGGGGTTTGTAGAGGTTGTAGTAATGATGCTCTAGCTTAAAATGACTTATGAAAATAAATATATCAAGTTTATAACTGTAATTCTTTCAATCAACATTGACCTACAAAAGAATCTCCAAATTGACTATGAGCCTAAATTTATACAGATTGTTTCAATCTATATAATTAAATTGTAAATACATTTAAGAGTATCTCATCCATCGACCAACACAATCGTTCTGTCAACTATCGTCTTTAGTATACCGTTTATTTTTTCTCTCATTAAATACATGATAATGATCTTTCGTTTTTTGGTTAATAGAAAACAAAACAAAATTCCAATTACATAAGTGATTATCCAAAAAAAATATTGAAAAGAGTTACATCAGTTTGTTTAGTTTAATTGAATGATTGATTCTTTTTAAAAAAATAACCAGTTGTTATGTCGTTTGGATTTAGGGTGAATAATTTTTTTTATCTTTTTTCAATTATTGTTTATAAGATTTTATTATTGAAATGTTCATTTTGATTACCTTGGCAACACTATTTGGGAAATTAATATTTACTTTTGCTTATTATTCATAATAAACAATTGATAAAAGTTGATAATAACTGAGTTGTCTAATTCTAATAACCTCAGTTATACTACACTGTGAAATACTAATATCATCATTGATTATTGATATAATTAGAATTATTGCAAAGGAAAGAAATATTTGGTGCTTACCGCATTAACTTGATATTTACTTAGTTATCAGTTAACTCTAAATCAAAGCTAGTGGTTTAAAGATATATATATCTGTGTTATTTGTCACTACTGACGAGCCCCAAATAGGACGAAATACGTGTCTCAGACTCCACTGCTAGCCACCATTCATCTTTATTCATAATTATTAGTAGTAATTTTGGTGAAATGGCTGACATTTTATTTCTTTAATATACTTCATGGATGATGTATTTATTTTTGTAATTGATAGATATAAACGTTAGTTTATAAATGATCAAGTAAAGTTTACAATGAAATGAGGAAATAATAAATTTAATTCTTTAAGGTTAAATAAATAACTTGTAGAATGTATAGAACTTCTTTTTATGGATCATGTTGATATCTTCTAAATCTCTATAATATATTTATAAATTCAAGATGTAAAATAGATTTTCACATGGTACCATTCAGGGAACACTATTCATTGTAATCTTGTCAATACATAACCAATAGTAATACAAATTATTCACTAAACAGGAACTACATAGATTAAAGTAATTGTTAGCAAACATTTCAATATCTTTCCAACCTTCACAGTTAAATGTGGTAACATTAAAACAAGAATTGTTGTCGTCAAATAGAAAATTTTTTGATAAAATGTACATTATTTATTGTTTAAATATACTGGTTTACATTTTTAAACATGACTTTCTAAATCGACATGTATCAACTGTATTTTATTATACAGTAAAACGTTGATATGACGCGAAGATTCATTGTTATTCATTGAGCGTTCTATCAAATTCTGGAGGAAACAGTAGAAAGTATAAAAACAAAATACACCGCCAATATGCATAAGCTTTAAGAAATACTTCTATAGTATAAACTGGCACATATTAACTTTTGGTTATTAATTTCAATAAGAACAAAAAATCGAATAAAGACTCTGAGCTTACGTTAATAAAATTCGTGATAATTAATTCATAAGAACTTGAAAAAAGTAATAAAGCTGGATTTACTTTAAAAGAACAAAAAAACCTTGTAGTGGTAAGTAATGATCAGAATTTTAAACAAATAAAAGTAACGATGGATAGTAACCAGCAGTAGAATCTAGGACCCGCGTCTCGTTCTACTTAAAATAATCAACTGGACGTGTCTATATCCCAGCATTAATATTCACTCTGGGACTCAAACCCAGTACCATTTGCTGTAAACGCTATCGCGTCATCCACACAGCTGCTGAGCCAAATTAGCCACCGCCCACCTCTGCTCATAATGCTTGTAACTTGAGGCACCATCGAGGTAATCTGCATCGGGTGCACATATGTCAATAGAAGACTAATCAATTGCAGTTCAGAACATCAATGAGAAGATTCAAATAAACAGTACAAAACTGAATTAAATAACAATAAATTAATTATTTTCACATGATGTATAAGTTCGCATTTATTTAACATTTTTTATTTAATTCAGATTGAATAAATGTTGGCCGATTAAACTAAAATTTATTTTTGGGTATGCTTTGCTTCAATCTTAGGTTACGCCCTGAATTAATTCTACCATTAGCAAAATATTTTTTTTAACCAGAAACTTTTATTTTCTTTTTCTTCAATTATTCCTTTGATCTCATTTCGTTTCGGTATTATAATCCACAATAACAAAATAACCTACGTTAATAAGTAGTATATTTTGTAATTAAATTTATAATTCTTTCATGGATACTCGTTCGAGTTAATTTACTTCAGCATAATTTGTAATCAGCATAAACTTAAGTGGTTAGTAATAATATAATATTTTCATTAATTGTTTAATTTTAATGTTTTATTTGAGAGATGCATATTTGATGGGTTTTGTAGATAGTAAAGTAATTTCAATAGCTAAGATAATGAGTCAGTTGAAGCTAGACCACCATGGAAACCCTGGAAGCACTGGACGGCCGTTTCGTCCTATTATGCAACTCCTCAGAAGTGCGTACTCACGACCTCTCCCCCTGCGAGATTCGGACCCATGACCTACTAGTTTCGCTCAATTTCGTGGATTAATTGAAGTTAGACATTAACACCGTTGGATGCCGACTCAGTGATCTAGTGGTTAAGTGTTCGCGCACGAAACCAGTAGGTCCTGGGTCCGAATCTCGCAGGGGGCGAGGTCGTAGACGCGCATTGCTGAAGAGTCCCATACTAGGACGAAATGGCCGTCCAGTGCTTCCAGGTTTTCCATAGTGGTCTAGCTTCAACTGACTCATGATCTTAACCATTGAAAGATGCATATTTACTAAAATGTTTTTAAGCGTATTTCTGAAAACCTAGATATTTTAATTACTGCCAATAATAGTTCCCTCTGAACATACATCATTGTGTAAACATGTGTATATGTTTCACTATATATATAACTGATGATAGTCAGCTATATTGAGAATATGACCAACGAACTATAAAGAATATTAAATAAACTCTCTCTCTCTCTCTAAATCATGATATAACCAAATTTCGAAATATTGATCAATGTATCTGAACTAAGTGGTGTAGAACTATTGATCACTCTCAAATTCATTTGAAAAGAGAGTTATGACATGGTGCCTACAAATTTAGATCTGTATTTGTGCTCAACAAAATTAGATTCATTTATCTTATTCTAAACTTATTATTATTAATTCATATACCTATGGTCGAATATTATAAATTTCATACAAAGTATGTTCTTATTGTAATATGTAGTGAATTAAATTCATTAAATAGATTTCCATATATTGTAATACTCTATATCAACATTCATCTTCCCTTGATAATTTTAAAACATAATATATTCTAATGTCAAAAGGAATATTTTGTGTGAATATTTCATAGTAATTACAATAGTTGATATCACGAGTCAATTGAAGCTAGATCATCATGGAAAACCTGGAAGCACTAGATACGCACTGATGAGAAGTCCCATAATAGGACGACATTATATTTTATTTAACCACTGAAAAGAAAAACATACGAAATAGAATGTTAACTAAAGAAATACATTGAACACTACCTTTAATTGTTTTTCATTTAATAGAAAACATTATTAAAAAAACAGATTAATTAATTAGTTAATTTTGAAGTGAGTTAATGTAATCTGACTCTTCTTTTGATTATAAGGCAAACTAATTAACTTAGATTCATTTTATATCTTTTTCTTATTATTCATTATCTAAATTCAGTTTATTCATTATACCAGGTATAATTGGAATTTTTAACTCATGTTTTTTTTCTTAAGTTTACATATCCTATAGTTTCTTTGTACTTAATTGATTTTTGGCTAATTCTTTTGTCAGTATAGAGTCATGGAGATTATTGAGCTATTGATTGAGATCATGAACCGATTGATGTTATACCACCATTGACAACCTGAAAGCACTGGACGGCCGTTTCGTCCTATTAAGGGACTCCTCAGCAATGCGCATCCACGATCCCTCTCGCAGGATTCAAACCCAGGGCCTTCAGTTTTGCGCAAACTCTTAACATACTAGACCACTGAGCCGGCATCCAACGTTGTTAATGTCTAACTTCAACCAATTCACGGAATTGCGTGACAGTCTTACATAATACTGATGTAGATACCCGTATCTACCCGACACGGATTAGTTCCACTGGTCACAGCTTCTCCCTAGAACTCCGAGAATTCCCTCAAGAATTCAGTCACTAGTGAGCATATGGTAATTATCTGTATAGGGTTGTGGAGATTATATTTTTGGCTTGTTTTCATCCACGATATATATATATATATATATATATATATATATATATAATAAATTTAAGCTTTTCTTATTAAGTCATATTTATTCAATTAAGAATCAGCATTTTTCTTTTAACATCAAAACTAGAAAATCATTCATATTTTGATTCTATGCTGAAATAACCGATTGTTGACGTTTAGTTATTCGGTAACTGTTCACTGATCCTTCTATTTCAATCATAAAAAACAGTGATGATGATGAGGATTTATATAAAGATATGTAGTAGTAATCGACGTTATTTATTTTAATCATTATTATTATCTGAATTCTAACAGTTTTGTTTACAATGCTGGCAGTCAGAGTAGTGATTTGAAATGAGAATACACTATGTTTGATGGTAAGTTATGCAATTCAGTAAGTAGGAAGAGCTGAATGTAGGCTTCTTGATGGATTGAAGTCTTCAGAAAATAATATGTAAAGACTTTGAACGACCTTATTTCTCCGCAGGATTCAAACGCAAAACATTCGATATTGCGAACGGAGAGGTCACTACGAAGTTATTCTTATGGATATTGATATATTGTAAAGACGAAGAATTCTCATTAATGGATCACTGAGTTATATTCAGTGTTATTTAGTAACTGAAGCCGATAGAATTCTACCAAACAAATTTGACGTAAATTCTTTCAAACTATATTTACAATTCAATATACAAATGACACAAAAGTAGCTGTCATCGTTAAGTGATAGTTGTTTTTTGGGTTGAGTTAACCGAATTACGGCTTCATAATTACTTTTCACTGTTTAGGTAATACAACTCAATTATTATCATTTTATGACACTGAAATATTGACTAACATCATCTGAAACTACTTACAAGCCATAATACACAACAACCATTTATTGATCGATTGTAAGGTAAGTTTTTGTAAGTTAGAACTATGATTCAATCAGTTTCATTTGACGTTAAGTATCTAAATAAAATAGCCAGAAAAATGGATGTAAAGTCTTAGTCTTTCCATAAGTGAGAAATACAAAATACCTACTTAAGAAAACTTCCATTGATAAATGACTTGATACTTTCTTGATTTGCTAATAAATTACGTTTAATTATTTTAGTGGTTATACGTTCAAGTTGACGAGAACGTTTACTTAGAAATAGTTAACTATTTATATACCAACCGAATGTAAAACCAGTTGAATGTTTGTAACTTCAGAAAATGAAACATTAAGTACCAAGCACATATCATTGGGCACGTACTATTAACAACTCTTGAATTGTAATTGAAGAAATCCGTTGAAAAATTGATTGATCAGTTTAACAACTACTTAATCATCCAACTGGATTATTTAAATCACACAACACTATTGATGAGAAGATGAAATAGATGAATGTCTACCTAATTAATTAACTGCTCGTAATAATGTGATCTCATTAGGTCATTTCTTATCATCTTATAAAATTGATAATAACACTGGTTAAATTATTTTCTTGATAAATTATTCAGTTCTTAAGCAATATATGCATTTAACTTCACTGATAACTTTCATTTCATCGATAATGTTTTGATTATTTTATATTTTGACATAACTCAGAAATACACTTCCATGTCAAATTCAAATGAAATAAGTAACTCTATGTCAACAGTATTATCATCCGCGTCATCATCGTCATCATCCCACTCCTTGTCATCTTCCTCATCGTCGTCTCCAGCCCCTGTGCTTGAATCACAAAATATTAGATCTACATGTTTAGAAGCATGTTATACAGCTCAACAAGTTTACAGTCAATCAGATCAATTAAAAAATAATCCAAATAATGCCATTTGTCCTCGTTTAAATACATGGCCGGAATCATGTCAACATACGTGTAAACATAATGCTGATTGTATACCGTATGGTTATACTAAATGTTGTCAAACGATGAAATGTATCGAAAATTTACAACAGAAAAGATTAGTTAATTATGTTAAAAATGTTACGAAAATTGGTGTATGCAGTCAAGGTGTTTATGATCCTCAAAGTAAGTAAATTTGTTACTTTTATTAACGTAATTATTTTCAGTAGTTCAGATCATTAGTCAATTGTAGCTAGACCATCATGGAAAGCCTGAAAGCACTGTGCAGTGCTGAGGAGTCCCACAATAGTACGAAACAGCCGTCCAGTGCTTACAGGTTTTCCATGGTGGTCTAACTTCAATTGGCTCATGATATCAACCACTGAAATTACTAAAATCTACCCAAAATCCCTTCTGATAGTAATTATTTTCATTTGAGGAGTAGATTTTTGATTTATATTTAATATGAAACATGAAATCAGTGTTAAGGTATGTGGTATTTCGTCGGCTCATATTTATTTTCGAATTGTAATGTGTAACAATTTATCTAACAGTCTTGTTCCTAAACATGAACGGTAAGTTGGAAGGATAAGTAATTTACACATAAGATGAAATGTATATTCATTCTTATAATATATTAAACAAGAAAACTTTTCCTATGTAAAATTTGATTCATCTGTCTATTTTTTTGAAAATACAATTTGATTTCTCATTTCCAAAACTGATCGACTTCCACTGATCATATATAAAATGTGGTGAGACTATTAATGCGAGTTGATTGGAGATCACGGTGAACTTTTTTGACGTTAGACAATGGTAAGCAACCATAAAGAAGTGGCACCGGGATTAGACTCCCTAAAAGAGCTTCAGTTCTCTCAAAATTGTATGTGCGCCATTGTTACTGACTAATAACCTATAGAAAACCAAGGTTCAGCACTTCCAAACAGTCATCTATCATCAAACAAAGATGACGGTGCCATAGATTTATTTCGTCTTATATTATAAAAACAATCTACAAAAATGTGATCAACGTTAGTTGATCATTAATTATACACTCGGTCAGCAATAAAATAGAATAATTTGTATAAAAAAGCGTATTTAGATGTTTTATGGAATTAGTGTGGAAAAACAGATCAGATATTAAAATAGTGACCAAATATAGATGTAAATACATACTCATATATAATGTGGTGAAACAATTTTTTAGTTAAGATTTTAATCATAAATCCCAATCTTTGACCAATCAGATTGTCGATTTACTTTTACTAATTCAATTACAATGATGTATTTGGTTTTGTTTCAGTTATTACTCTAAACAGTTGTTTACCGGACTGAATGACAAAGAACTTGTTTTCAATAGACGTATGTAAATTCCCATAGGTATTCTATCACTACATTTCATTAAATCACGTCATTAAGTATAATTTATAGATTATACATATATATCACCTATAAAGTCGGTATGTTAATGAATAATTAGTTATTTTCTACGTATTTGCAAAGTAAACAAACTATATCTCCATAGATAATACAATGGTTTCATGTCAAAGTATATTATATCATGTAGTTTTGATATAATGAAATCTGTAAGGATAACTTGATTTATGTAGTGATTTAACCACATGGGTCTTTTATCCTGATAGATCTATTTTAGAAATACTCATAAAATGTTTTAACAAATCTTTATTTCTTAAACTAGATGAAAGAAACATTATTGATTCTTTGAAAAGTATTTATCATGTGTAGAAGGATAAACAAGAAATGTATTCCGTTTAATACTGTCATTTCAATATATATGATTACACATAATCAAACTACTTTTAGTTTTAATGTTGAAGATAGACATGAACATGAACAGACAATAACTAAAGTATAGTTAAAGGTATGAGTTACATATCAAGATGTAATTGAACTACCCTTCGACTAACTATGAGTATCTTTACTTATCAAAACCAATATGAATGCATATGATAAATATCAGTAGTGTGTTTTATGTTCACATTTTTTTTAAAATGAATAATGGATACTTAATAATTATATAAAAATTTTCATATCTTGATATCGAAGTAGACTTCATAAAGAAATTCATTCATATAATGTGAAATTATTTTACCTTCTTAAACTCTATAGGGTTAGAAATCATTATTATAAACACTATTTCAAATAATAATGACTATCATTACCACCCTAAGATAATGACATTCTCATTGGAATTTATTGATATACACCACTGGTGCATTAAAATCATTGCAAAATAACTTAACTTTTAATAGTCGGTTGTATTGCATTGGTTACATGAGGTTTCTATGATCTTGTGAACAATTGGTCAAATTATTTATCTCAGAATCCCTAAAGAATGTGTTCAAAAGTAAATAAGTTCTTATCATTTGTGTTTTTAACATAATTCAAAATATTTTATTGTTTGAGATAGTATAAAATAAATTTCTAATGGGACCATACTTCCTTACATACATTAATATTATATCATCTTCCAAATCAACAGGGCCTAGAACGGAAGCTAACATTTTTTGGGCAGTCATGCACTACAAACTTAACCTTACATTCTTTAATCTGATTAGTTCGAGTGTGTACCTTAGTTTTAAGGAATAACTGAAAGTGAAAATACACTAAACAGTCCTTTAAAACTTGTAACGTTGGGTCTTCTACAGGAAATAGAAAACTTAGGTTTTTATCAAATTAAAAATGTATCGTTATTTCTTAATAGTAACTACTATTGAGGTGTATGCTACTTATATTGACGTAAGTAGTGTATGATGTTAGTCGTGAACAGAAGGTCTGGCAGCAGAGAGGTGGATATTTCGCAAATTAAGCATTTACTTCATGATTGTTAGATTTTATCAACAAGTCCTGTGATTTGTGTTAAATACATTCAATTGTCCCCACTGGTGTTCTTGTTCACTACACCATAACCATTAAATCTTAAAATACCAGTTAAATATTTAGAATACTATAATTTGGCTTATTATAGACTGTTTCTTGTAACTAATACCTCTTAATTACTCTTATATAAATGTATACATGTAAAAAGTCTATATCAGTAAATATTGATTTTCTCTTTAATTTTCACAGCTGTTCCACCAGTACCTGGGAAACCAATTGTTAAACAAGTCGAAAATCCTATCCAATTACATTCAAATGGTAAATTCTATTCACATTTAGATCGTTCCAATATTTTATCAAATGCACAACATAATCAGTTAGAATTAGATTGGTCAAATTATTATAATTTATCAATTAATGAGCATAATCCAATTGTATTTCTTATTCAACTTCGAATGTATTCAACTGTACAAACATTAAATTCCCCTTTACATAAATCCATTAATAGTGTATCATTTTTACCATTGAATAATTTCATTGAGCCAACACAACCAAATGAATATCTATTTGACAAATGGACAAACTTAATTTGGGTAAGATAGTGGTATTCTTAAGTTATATTTATTTTACTAAACACTAATAACTAAATTAAATGCATAAATGAAATTTCACAGATTGAAATCTGTGAAATTTCTAAAAATCTCCACAAAACACATTCTGATAATAATAATCAACTGCTCACTAGTGACTGACTTCAGGAAAAACTCCCGAAGTTCTAGTGAGAAGCCGTTACCAGTGGAGTTCAACCAGGTCTGTTGTGAGATAGGAACTCACTGAAGACAATGGTGTACGGTGGCGCAACTTCGTGGATTGGTTGAAGTTAGACATTAACACCGTTGGATGCCGGCTCAGTGGTCTAGTGGTTAAGTGCTCGCGCGCGAAGCCAGTAGGTCCTGGGTTCGAGCCCCGGGTGGTGCGGGATCGTGGATGCGCACTGCTGAGGAGTCCCATACTAGGACGAAATGGCCGTCCAGTGCTTCCAGGTTTTCAATGGTGGTCTAGCTTCAACTGACTCATGATTTCAATCTGTGAAATTTCTAAAAATCTCCACAAAACCCATTCTGAGCATAAATGAAAAGCATTAAAAGTCTATGAAACTTGGAAAAACTAAGTGACATATTGGTTAGTAACATAAGTATCTTCTATTTCGTAAATTTATCTTGTTAAGGAATATCATAGTACTTAGGTTAGTGCTTTCAATAAACTAGAAAATTTTAAAAATGCTACACATTCTACATTTGAAGTAATTTACTGAAATGCATGGTCACTATCTACACAAAACTATTATTCTATAATTAAGTGTGGTTCATCCCTGTATCATATTATTGTCTATGTAGTCGTATATATATGTATGAATGAAAGAGTACACATACGGGATTAGTTAGTGTATCCTTGTTATATTCAGAGTTATCAAATGAAACTCCTGTTCTAGTGTTTAATCAGTAGTATCCATGTGATAAGTAGGAATGAGCTGTTTGAAGTTATTTATTATGCTTTCAAAGTGATTTTAGCTTTTTAAATATTATGAAAGTGAAACAAAGAGTTTTATTCGTAGAAATGGTTTATAAATTTAGAAAATGTTCCTAACATCTCTATCATTCTCATAGCTAGGTAAATAATTCATAAACGACTTTATTAATCTTCAGTCCTTTCATATATCCTCTCTATTACTTAGTAATTTGACTTTATCCAATTACATCCCTTTTATTTTGCATTACATAACGTTTAATGATTATTTTCCTTATTACTGACGCATTTATTGTATTAAAATTCTAGTTTATTTTATCATCCTGTTTTCAATGCTGCTTTCATTACTAATACATATGATATTAGAATATTAAACTTTTATTGTTACCAGTAATCTAATGTGATCTATTATTATTAATAAGTCATAAATTGTATTCACTAGTCTAACGCATATATTAGAGATTGAAGGGAATTTAACTGGTAGACTAAGATAGTCAGAATTTTTGTGGTACCTGAACATTCTAAATTGGGTTACGTGTAATATGGTACTTCTGCAATTTTGAGAAGTCCCATACTATTAAGAAATAGATGGCTGTTCGATGCTACTTAGTTTTTAATAGTTCGTTAGCTGATGTCAGTCAGTGATGTAAACCAACTTCAAACAGATTACTTTGCACAAAATACTTTGGTGAAACTATAATTTGTGGAGGACCTTTGAGTGACGCCAAAGTGACCTTGAGAGTGTCCACCTAATAACTAGGACCAGATGAGGGTTATAAACTAGTGTGAGGAATTAGGATTATGATTTACAGTTGATGGTTAGGGGTAGGAATTAGATTTATGGCTTTCATTACGAACTGACATCAGCTATAATGCCAAAACGTTGTTTAGCCAAATGGGTAAGTGAATTTCTCGCAAAAATCCAGACCTGTTATCTTATATCTGATTGGTTCGTCCATAAATTATAGTCTCGCCAATGCTCGTTTGAGATTAATAAAAAGACTGAAAACATTTGCCATTTATCATATGGTTTATTTGAAGTATGTAAACATGATATTTTGAAACACTGAAGTAATTATTCACTGTTTACTTCACTGGTTTATTTGTCAACAGACTACAAAACTTGGAGCAGTTCTATCTGATCTTAATCCAGGAACGTGGTATCAGTTTCGTTTATTAGCTATTTCAAGTGAAGGTTTTGGAGGATGGGGTGAACCGAGTGAGCCTATTCGTACACAAGTTCAGTTAATTCCACCATCTCGACCTCGAAATCTCACTGAAATACGATCAAGAATTTTCGAAAATCATGTAGATAGTACAATTCATTGGGATATTCCAGAGGAAATAATGTTCCCGCTCAAAAAGTATCAGGTAAGATGAATGTTATTTTGATTGTTTCTTTCTAAATCCCTAAGTAATTTTATTTTTCGGCCAAAATCATCATATTTAAATGTGTTCAGCATTCAGCTGTCGAAACATTTTATTGGAAAACTTTCTTAGTTTTTTACAGTGTAATAAAAGATCATGATCTGGGAGGAAGTGTCTCATTTAACCAATATAATTCGAAAATTTTTACCGTGCATTAAACCATTTAATGAGAAAACACCTCTAACGTTCAATAAATAAATAGTTATAAAAAGGAATATAAATGTAGAGTAAACGAAATTAGCCAGTTCGCGGATCACTACGTGTATGAGAATGAAATAGTTACAGGTCAGGTGTAAAGTGAAAACAAGATGTTTCTGAGCGACTAAACATTTTGAACTTTCTGATAGCTTAAGATTCCATAAACGGCAACGTAACCTTCAAACAGCTTTTATATGCAGAATTCAATACTTTTTTGAAGATAATTAGATGATTTGTTTATTCTGATGTTTGACTTTAAAATTCATGGTTGTCAACAATTTGTCTATTATGACTCTAACCGATTTCGATTTAATTCACACAACCATTTCATCGCCATCGGTTGTATCGCCAGAATGATGCTAACTTTTTATATATCTTTTTACTATACATGTATTCGTTTTTACAAACTAACTTCTTTTTCATATTAAACGACTTAGTAAAACACTATATAGTCATACTGTTCGAAGTACGCTTTCCAAATATATCACTTTTAGAATAACTTCGTTTGCTCATTGCACTAAAAATAGATAACTATTTTTTAGTTTTAAATTATTGATAAAACTCACTCTGAGCTCACCAGTGACTGGCTTTGAGAGACAATCTCCGGAGTTCTGATGAGAAACGGTGACCAGTGGAGCTAGACCTCATCGGGTGTGAGGAAGATACCCACTGAAGACAATGAAAGACAGTCCCATAATATCGCAAATTGATTGAAGTTAGACTCGTACACCATTAGATCTGGCCTTAGCAACCTAGAGGTCAGGCATACACACACAAGACTGAATATCCTGGTTTCGAATCCCGGTTACAGGGTCGAGGATACTCACTTCTGAGAAGTCCCATACTGTAACGAAGTGATATTCCAAGGCTTTCAGGCTTTCAGTGGTTGTAAAACTTCGGTCGATATGTGATTTTGATGAAATTTAACAATCTATACAACCCTATATTTAAAAAATACATTCTATCGATTTGGTTCAAATCGGGGATAAAAGACTATGTCGATTCCGATCCACTCCTACTAATATGAGAAACAACGTGTTTGACGTTAATCCATGACATACAAACCATAGAAAATAATATAGATAAAAAATAAACACCTACTTTTAAGAAAGAACAGTAGGATTATGAGACTGTACAGCAAGCAGATAAGTTATGAAAGCTATTGAGATAACAAGTTATCATAAGATTTTACATTCGGTTTTCTAACAATTAACTCGGTAATTTAACCAGTAAAGTTTAATTATTTTCCAATTCTTTAATTGATATTCTCAAAAATAGTTGACTCAGTCATTATACAAAAGGGTTTTGGAATTAGTAACTATTTAAATAATTCTAGAAATAATAATTTCAGTTTTGAGATGGTGGAGATTTATAGTTCAAGAGAGATTATTTTGATAGAGTTTTGTTCTCTGAGCTGGATGGTTTGATCTTAGAGTTTTCATCGTTCTTCTTACTTCTACTTGAAATTTGTGCTAATGATGTCGTTCAGAAGAACAATGAAAGCTCCACAACCAAACCATCAATAACTATAAAACTATAATCAGTTTTTCATATCACAATATGTCGTGATCTTAATTATTATTTATTTGAATGGTTGCCTTACAGTATTAAAACTGTAATTCTGTAACTGTGTTAATAGGAAGTAAGGCTTAATAAAGAAATCACATTGTTTTTCAATAACAAAAGAAATGTTATGTATTTTATGATCTGTTAACTATCACGTGATAAGATTGCCAATTAGAATACCGACCAGATCAATGACACATAAACCAGTACAAACAGCCTAGAGTCACTCTGAAATCTTATTGATTCCTCCAGGTAGTAGCTTCTCTTCTAATCCAGCCGGTTTAGTGCAGAACGCTAATATAAGCCTCCGCTATATGAATCATGTATTTCAGACATACGCAGTTTATATACAAACAAATCAGACCACATCATATCATAAAATAGAAAACAACAATTATACAAGATCAAGCCAAAAAAGTGGCTGTGATTGTAAGAGACTTTTACTGATAAATTTAGAATGACTTAAGAATAGAAAATTGTATAATAATAATCAATAGGTCAGATGAAAGCTTATGATAAAAGAAATATGGGTGAAACTATAATTTATGGATGACTTTTGAGCGACACTAAAGCGTCCTTGATGATGTTCACTTGCTAACTAGGTTATAAACCAAAGTGAAGAAATAGAATTATGATTTACTGTTGATAGTTATGGTTAGGAATTAGATTTAAGATTTCCATTACAAATTGACATCAGCTAAAATGGTATTTAGCCAAATGGATGAGCGAATTTCGCTCCGAAATCCAAGATCTATTATCTTAAATCTGATTGGTTCGTCCATAAATTATAGTCTCGCTAATAGATTGTAGCAGTTATTATTCACTTATTCTTTGTTACTGTTATGTATTGATTTTTAAAACTGAATAATTTTCTTTTTAGTTGATTCTCATAGTTTTCAGTTATTTATTAGCTAAATACTTCATCTTTTATTTTAAGCCAATTATCAAAATGGTAATCATTCATATCAATTAATCAATTTAGGATAAATCAATTATAGCTCAGTAACACTTAAACTAATTAATTCTAGTTTGTTTATTTCAATAAGCCCATGTGTTCTGTTTCATTGGAATTGATTGACAGATATATTGATGATTATTAACTTGACGACATGTTGCTTTCTCATTTTGTTTCTTATTTCCATTATTGTATAACATGAATTTCTTTCCATGAAAACTTTTAATTGAACACTTTAAAAGAATAACGAATCTCTTTATTCAGATCATAAAATTTAATTTGAAAAAAAAAGATCAGTAATTGTTTAAGTGAATTGAAATTTCCTGGAAATCTTCAGTTTCAATTTCAAAGGTTATTATTTTGAACATTGATCACTTACTTACTTACTTACTTACTTACTTACTTACTTACTTACTTACTTACTTACTTACTTACTTACTTACTTACTTACTTACTTACTTACTTACTTACTTACTTACTTACTTACTTACGTCTGCTACCTCTTGTGGAGGAACACAGGCCACGCAACAGAATTCTTCATTCCAATCTATCCTGGACAATCCTTTAGAGTTCTTTCCAGTTGCTATTCATCTTTATGATATCTGCTTTCAATTCACAGTGCATTGTGTTCTTTGGTTTTCCTTCTTTCCGTTGCCTATCTGGATTCTAAGTTAGGGCTTATATCCTAATGAAGTTTGATGATTTTTATAATATATGCGCTATCCACTTTCAATAACTTTTCTTGATTTCCTATTCAGATAGAAGATGGTTTGTTTTCTTTCACAGTAGGTCATCGTTGATTGCATCCGATCAACGAACATTGTTTAGATAACTGTTTATGAATACCTGACATATTTGATGATAGTTGCGGTGGGTGTTCAAGTTTGAACTCCTTACAGTGGAACTGTCTTGGCGTTCGTATTGAAAATTCTGACTTCGATATTACTTGTCAGTCGTTTTGAGTTCCATATGTTTTTCAACTCTATGAATGCTGCTCTTGCTTCGAACATTGATAGTGAAGAATTTCTTTTTAAATTAAAATTATGGAACATCTGAAATTATCTAGATGCCTAAAAAAGCGAGTTTACTGTGTAGCAGTTCTTTCAAACATGATTTGCAACTTCAAAACTTTCTTATCCTGATTAGATGATACATAAAAACGATTCAACAATAAGTCATCCACGTATAGTGCACAAGAATACCAATGGGGACGATCGAATGTATATTAATTCAACATTACAGAATATCTTGGTAAAATCTGAGAACCGTACAGTAAATACTTCATTTGCAAAATATCCATCAATTATCTCAGACTATGTTGTCCCTTTGTTTCCGTGCAAGTCACTCTCTTCTCTTCAATTTTCTCAACCTTCTGCCGTCAGGCATTTCACTTTCCACTGGTCATACATACTACTTATATAAGTCGGCATCAGTAACACACATCACTCATGTACTGTCTAAACACTGTTTAAACACTATAATAACAGTGACCGATAATATGAATAAGCTCAATGAGTGAAGAAGTTCAATGAATTTCTCAACTTGAGCTGATTTGTTTGTTTGACATGATTCTGAATAACTACCTATGCAGGTGGATCGATGTGAATTTTATGTGAAAGCTTAATGAAAACAGATCTATATCATTAATTACGGAACTGTGTATTTTAAGTAGATTGTAAATTCCCTGGCTGGTTTTTTTCCCGAATACTGAATTCAATAGTTGGACTATTTAGCGCAAAACAGTTCTTGAAAGTGTTCATCATTTCTAAAAACTTTCTACCATGCTTCATATATGTTACATTACTTCATCTATAGCATTCCCTTCAGTTTTCCATTTCTTCATATAGTTTTGTTGATTTTTTAAAATGATTACGTAATGATAAACCAATATGCATTCCTACTTGGGTTTATTTAAAACTATTTTGTTAGTGTTACTGAAGATCTTCATATATATCTCCACTGTTCAAGATGTCAAGCTATAGGATAGAATAATTACCGGTTAAATGACAAGTCAAGCTAACTTTAATGTGGCATATTCATGCGACGAACTAAAATTAGTTTTCATAATCACCAGCCTAGTAGTATAAAACAGTATATATAAAATAAACTGTATATACTCAATACTTACTAGTAGTATTAATTTTTCCAGATAAATTCATCCGTGCATATATTTCAAGATCAATTTAAAGTCTTTATAAGTAATTAACCAGCAAGTACTATTATTAAACTATGAATGTAACTTTTTATATATTATTTATGAACAGATAATATGGCGTCAATATTATGCATTTAATGGAGAAGACAGAAGTTCATTAACGGAATACACAGCAAATGTACCTGGGGTAGGTTTGTCAATCAGTTCTTTATCATATTCAGACCACATAACTTCTATACTGGATGTTAGTCAGATATACTGGAGTTTTCTATGTTGCTCAGTGTTAAACGTTATGGGAAAAGCAATAGAAAGAATTAAACAAATATTTTATTAAATCTATGACATACTGATTTGTTAGGTCAATCATGTGTTCACTCACCTGCTCTGCATTATAGTGAGACAAGTTTAGAAATAAACTTCGAAAAGTAAACCCAAATGTTCATTCATATAGTTCTCTAACCAACAATCAATAGTTCTAAGATCAGTGTTGAAAATAATTAAGCATGGACACTTCTCTGAATAAGTTTCTTGTTGAAAGAAACAGTTTGGAGCTCTGGTGAATAAAGTCTTTATCAGTGGTCTGAATAGTCTGTTCTTTAGTAGCTTAGAAGCTATATCTCCCTTGAATTTGATGTTCAGGAACAAACTTGACGCTTTAGTTTTATATTACTATTAATGATCTTGAGATGGAATCGATTCCACAGATGTGTTTGTCGGATTATCTTCAGCTCATCATCGTTTATGACTATTGCATATTTGTTTGGTTCTTCAGTATAGAGAATAAATTAAATTTTTTCTCTCGGCGGATCCAACTATGGAAGTCCGTACATTATTCGTTCCAGGTTGGCTTTCTGTATGACGATCGTTGTAGAAACCCATCGGATCTTCATTTTAGTAGAGCATCAGAGAAGTAAGATTCCAAGTACAACTGCACTTCTATTGTGAACTTAATAGAGTGGTGATGATTATTGAACTCGTAATATTTTATTAAGGTCGCTGTCATGGTCACAGATGACAATATTATCATCCATATATCTCTTATACAAATAAAATATACCGATTGTTCATCAAGGGGTAAAATTCTTCTAGTTGACCATAAAAAGGTGTATTAGACTGAAAAGAAATATATCTCATCAAGATACCAAGAAAAGGAGACGCCCAAATTGGAAATCCCAATATCGGATTCCTTAAGGATCGGTCGTGAAACGACCAAATCACGACGCTAAGGACCATGTTAAGCAATCAGTTGAATGGGATTCGTCAACATATTTCAACTTCCTTTACTATGAGAAGGCATTTGACAACATGACTAAAAAAATATTATGGAACATTCCTCGACACTATGGTGTAATTGGGAAGATCGTCACCATCATACGGAATCCTCACGACAAATCACACCGCAAATTTAGGCACGGAGGACAACTGGCAGACTCATTCTAAATGAGAACCGGTGTCAGACAATGCTGCTTACTATCCTCCTTCCCCTTTCTTCTAGTGGTTGACTGGATTATGAAAATTTACACACCTCAGAGGAAACACGAAATATAATGGACAGGTTGGATGCAACTAGACGATTCGGGCTTCACAGATCACCTGTCTCTTCTATCCCATACACACTAACAAATCCAGGTCAAGACAGATGGTGTAGTATCAGGCTCTACATCAAAAGGCATCAACATATACAAGGAAAATAGCAAGATCCTCAAATACAACAGAGCGATCATCAACTCAATCACACTGGTTGAAAAAGCTACGGAACAGGTGGTAAATTTCACGTACCTGAACAGCATCAATGACAAACAAGGAGAATGTGATACAAATGTAAATTCAAGGATTGGCTAAGCAAGGACAGCATTCCTACTACTGAAGAACACATGAAACTAGAAACGACTGACAGTCAATATCAAAGTCAGAATCTTCAATACGAAAGTCAAGACAGTTCTACTGTACGGAGTTGAAAATTGGACATCTACAACTATCATCAAAAATGTACAGGTATTTATAAACAATTATCTACAAAAGATATTCAATGTTCGTTGACCAGACAACATGAGTAACAGCCTACTGTGGGAGAGAACAAACCATCTTCCATCTGAATAGGAAGTTAGGAAAGGTTATTAGAAGTGGATAAGACATAGATTGTGGAAATCACCAAACTGCATAATGAGGCAAGTGCTAGCTTAAAATTTTGAAGGCAAGAGGAGAAGAAGTAGACCGAAGAACACATTTCTTTGGTATTTGAGGGAGATATCACGGAAATGAATAGAACTTGAGAACGAAATGAAAGTAGACTCAAGGATAAATTTGTTTGAAGAAGCCTTATCAGTGGCCTATACTTCACGTAAATTAACTGCCGTAATTTAGTATGTATGTAAAAGATTACCGATAAATACGGTTGTATAACTTCAGAAAATGATATTGTCGAAAAGAAAAGTTTCTTCGCTGAAACATTCTTTTTAATGAATGGAAATGTTCATGCTACGAAATTATTGATCATGATTTTTATGTTACTGACAATTTTTGTAGTAGTTTAAAAAGTTACTAAAATATTTATCAATTCATTGAATCTCATCCGATCATGAAAAAACAACTTGTAAGACCATTTTCTTTCTTTACGTTAACGTTTTTTACCACTCTAAATACTTGAAATCATTTTTCAAGTTTTAATTGGTTGTAAATTAAATAGAAACATGTTCCCTACATATTAATCAAATGAATTGTAAAAATGTATTTCAACGCAGTGCCATTATGCTAGCATGTTTCATTGATGATCTGAACACCCTAGATCCGACTCTCTACAAAAGAGATCCTTGATGCCAGTTGTTGAACAACCTCAACATGAAAGTCCCCTACCTGTCCACTCTCTACTTGAGTTTCTCTGGGGGATTTTAATTCGTAACAAAAATAATCTGCATATCTAATTTAGATTATACAGTTATACTGAAATAAGTATTATTTATTATTTCTTTTTTGGTAAAAAGATGATTTATAATAATGCGTTGATTTAAAACTAATCTCAATGGAGGTACGTCTAAGTTACTTACTAAACATTGATGATTTATGTAACATTTTATTGAAGCGAAATTCTTGTTTCACTCAGTATAATGTGATTCAGTGTCATGTAGGCAAGTACAAAACATTAAATTCACTTGGTATTGTTTACTTGAATCCTCTCATTGATTTTTTGGACTGCAATTGATCAATCTCTCTTATTTGCATATGTGCTTTCTTTATGGATTACATCGCTATCGCCTTAAGTCACAAGGATTATAAGCAAAAATGGATAGTGGCTAACAGTGGAATTCAGAACCCACGTTTCCTTCTATTTGGGATTCGTCAGCTAGGTGTACCTGCATCCCAGATTTGACGTTCACTCTGGGATTCAAACCCAGTACCGTTCGCTTCAAACGTCATCGCGTTATTCAATTATTACACTCCGTAAAAATATCTAGTTATAAAACGAAACTTACAAGTTACGAATTATACTTTGAGTATTTTATTTTGTTTTTTAGGATAAAACAGTATACTTAATACAAAATCTTAAACCAGGAACGACGTATAAGATTGAAGTAAGTTATATATTTAGTGATAATATGAAAAAGATTTTATAATGTTCAAACTACAAACTGACTATTGTAGGAAATTTTGTGCAATATCCCTTTATTTTAAATGTTTCAATATAAATATGATACGGAAAAAATGACTGAATAATTATTAAATTAGTTTTAACTGATGAGATAGTTAATAAATATTAAAGCAGTTTGGTTAATCGGTAGGACTATTATTTATGGTCGACCTTTGAACGACGCCAAAGGGACGTTGAGAGTGTCTACCAACTTACTAGAGCTAAATGAGGATTATAAAGCAGTTTGAAGATTAAGGATAATGATTCACAGTTGATGGTTAAAGGTAGGAATTAGACTTATGGTTTTTCATCACGAACTGACATCAGCTATAATGCCAAAATGCTATTTAGCGAAATGGGTGAATGAATTTCGCGTTAGAACTCAAGACCTGTTGTCTTAAATTTGATTGGTTAGTCCATAAATTATAGTCTCGCCAATAAGTTGATAATATCATGAACATCATTGTACTTTTAACTATATTTCTGTCATTCATAGATTAAAATGAATTATAGTAAAACCAGCCTACTATACTAGCTTCTCATTTTTATCAAGACTAAAGCTAATAGTATTTTATCGTAATAAGTATTTTGATGTACCAAGACACTCAACCGATGTTACTGATGAGTTACTGTTTCAAAAATGAGCATTCATATCGAAAAAGATGTATGTCAAACGTTAAGATATCACAGACACAAGGCTATTCCGTGGAGTCATAGATATTGATGTGAATTAGTATATAACCTTTAACTAAAACACTTTATTTAAGATTTTAAATGTATTAGATTTAGATGTTCGTAATATTTTATTTCTTCGATTTCCCGTAATTTTCCATTTTGTCCAATTTTTTAAGGTAAAAGCGGTGTCACTTTTTGAAGGAATAGAAATGAAAAGTCATCCGGCCACACTTTATATATCTACAATACAAATTCCATCACAACAAACAGAAGCAGGTAACTTTATGTGAACTATTTCCTTTGATCTAAATATTTGTTCATTATGTGATAAAACTATTTTAGTGTTAACCATACCAATTATTTTACCGACCGTACAAACCAAAATGACATGTAGTAGTAAGATTAAAGACCGTATTAGAACTGCGCTTTTGACAGCTGAAGTTTAAGATTAAGAAATTCTGATTACAGGCTACTTATTAGTAACGTTCGTATTTATAGCTTCAAGAAATCCTTAGGCAACTTATTCTGACGAGTTTTGACGGTTAAAACACATATTAAAGAATGTGTTCTAGTTCCATAGTTTGGTACCATTGTAAAAAACAGTTCTTCTTCTAGTTAACATTTTTGACTCCTTTACATCATATTTCTCACTTCATTGTAAATCTGAATCCGTCGTAGGCATCACCGACCAAGCTGAATATTCCTTCATTGTTCCGAAAAATACGCCCTAACTGACTTCCTTTAACCACAAAACCCTATCATGAATAATGATAATCATAACAGAATGTTCATAATTTGTTTCTTTAAGGTTCAGAACCATTTATGACTATATGATTATCAGTAAAACATTAGTTTAATAAGCTAGATGATCATATCAAGACGTTTTAAGCTTTAATAAAATCTAATTTAAAATTTTCATTTAAAGAGGTTGAATTAATCAAACTATTAGAAAATATTTGACTCTTCAAATGCTTAGTAGTTAACGCTGGAAATCGCTTTGATACTCCTTCATCAAACAAAGAGAACAAAAAGGATGGCCTAAAAACAACAGGCGTAACTATTTATACCTCTCGTTTATATATACCTATGTTTTTACTCCACCAGAACATATTATTAAGATATATTTTCAATACAGTGAACTGCGACAATGTACTAAATTGCAAGTTTTATCTTATACAAAAGTATGGGATCATATTCAATAACAGTAAATAATTAGCTAAAACTTAAAAGTATTAATATTTATATTGCACATATTAAGTACTTTTTTCCATTCCAGTATTTACAACTTCCATACCAACAAATGAAAGCTGTATGTGCGGGGATTCGAAGAGAGACTATTTATCGGTTACTGATCAATATTATGAAAACCAACAACTAAATGTGATCTTATCGTTGAATGTAAAGATAAGTAAGTTATTTTAATACTTAAAAAATATTACTAAACTTATTGTATTATAGTACGATGCCAGACATCATTTTAACAATATAATAGTGAGAATGACATGTAAAACTAAGCTATGGTTTGTTGTAGTTTGCGATAAGAATTAAGAGTCATAAAGGTGGGTGTTAAGTTACATTAATTGATATAGCCACTCAGTAGCTAAGTGGATAACGCGATGACACCTGAAGCGAACGGTACTGAGTTCGAGTAGCGGAGTGAACGTCAACCCTGAGATGTAGGTACATCAGGCTGACGAGTCTCAAATAAGACGAAACGTGCGTCCTGGATTCCACTGCTCGCCACTATCCATCTTTGCTTATAAATGCCATGATTGTTTTCAAAAAATGTACTCTGGGATCTGGATAAATCGTTTTGGTCCTAATATAATGTGACTTTTGTTAAACATTGATGTTATGATGAAATTAAATCTATTCAATAGGAAATGGATGAGTAGTTTCAAACTTGACAAAAGAAAGCATCTAGTCAAAATTCATGCAGATATTTTTATTAAAAACTTATCATCTCTAAAAGTGTTAAATCCCTATTAGTAAGCAACTCTTATCAACTATACGACGAGTCAATAAGTTTACTGACAAAATAATAAACTTAGTCGATAGTTATAGGTTTCAAATAGAATAATTTTATTTATGTTGTCTAAAATCGATTTGTGGATTCTCCCATTCTCTCACATTAGACAAATTTTCATCCTTACAACAAGCATAATGATAAACTAATCTCATTACATATAAATAACTTCAAATGTTAATAGTACAGTAGTAAAATGCAGTATATTAAACTAAGTTATTTCAAAAGATTTGTATCTAGGTAACCAAAAATATTTTGGAGATAAGATTGAGCTCTAGTAATCAAGTTAATCATTTCACCTTTTAAATTTTTTATCATTTATTGTATTTTAAAAGATTAAATAGAAATATATTTCTAAAAATATCTAGAGTTTAACTGGGATTCCAGTAAATTAGTCTTTTAATCATTCATTTATTTTACTGAATTCTATCCATTGAAATAACTATATCGAAACAAAATTCATGTAGTCCCAAAATCAAATAAGAAATCTCATGTAAAACATTAGGGATTTACTTCAATTCGGTGTATTTGTCTCAGCTATGTACAGACTTATAATTTCAGTTAATTCGAATATTTATGATCAAAAAGGGGTTTCGTGGATATTATAGTAATTTTAGTAGTTGAATTCATATATCAATTAAAGTTAAACCATCATGGAAAACTTGGAAACAATGGACGGGCGTTTTGTCCTAGTATGGGACTCCTCAGTAGGGCTCATTTACGATCCCGCCCGCGGGATTAAAATATTTATATTAAATAGTAATATATATGGAAATTGAGAAATGAATTGTCCATCAAACAACAAAAAAGCAATAATAAAAAGTCAAAATTTTATTGTGCTTAAAATAAATCATCACTAACTGATTTGATATAATCTGTGGATTATGTTCGTAGGACTTGAAGAAACTGAAATGAGATCGTTTCAAAGTTTCATTAAGTTATCCAGTTTGAACATCTTTAGAGAACCCGGTTATTTATTTACTCTGAGGAAGTAGTTCACATTAAGTCACGAAACGTCAGAAATACAACCTTTCTACTCACTGGGATATAACAAAAAAATATATTCATTATCTTCAGAAAAATAATTAAAATGAAAAATGTTTTTATATAAAAACGCTTTTGACATATTCGGTGTTTAGCTTTTACGAAACTGCTTGTTTAAACCTTAAACCAAGTTCCTATCAATTGATATAACAGTTCAGAAACATTAAAAAAAAATTGGCATTAAGCCCATTCAACTACTGTATTATTTATCTGTTCACTGTAATTTAGTTACTTGATCCACCATGTAATTTTCTGCGTGAGTCTGATGGAGCACATGTCAATTTTTAATCTATTCTCCCATTGGTTGTAATACACAGATAATCAATAATTTATCCATACCTGATTAACACTCATAAATATATATGGATTTTTAACACTCACAACCACACACACTCTTGGTTTCACTGTGTGCTTGCTTCGTGTACGCTTGCGGATTTACCCATCTTGAACAACAAACTATCTCTATAACTGTTGTTCAGGCTTTTGAATAATCTCGAGTAAATCCATAATTCTACTAGGAAATTTAGCCTGCATTATATACTCAGTTAACAGGATACTATTTATTGGAGTCAGATATAGGGGAAATTAGCCTCTACAAATTAGATTTCGTAATATGACGGAGAAATTAAAAAAAACTATGAAAGACTAAATGTTTATTCGAACTAACTCAATAGTAATAGCAGTTAACATGGAAAAAGGAATTAATTATAGTATTCATCACCCAGTTTAAACTTAACCAGTTACTATTTCTAGTACAAATGACGAAATTTAGAGCAGAGGTAAAGAGTATAGATTATATTGAGCCGATCAATAGAATTTGAGACAAAAAAAAGACTCGGAACAAACTTAGACGTTTCTCAAAATAAAGATGAAAATTTATTGTACATCAGAGAATAAGATTTTGGAACTTTCTATAATCTGAAACCTCTTGAAATGACGTTATACTTTAAGGAAGGGTCAAACAGATCTTAGATATCATCTCTTATGCATTTGCTTGAAGTTCATTTAACCATAAGAAAAGATAGTGAGAATGCTTTAAAAATTGCTCTTGTATCCTAACTCTTGTATTATGGAGGATCCTAGTTCGTGATGAAAACCGTAACCTCAACTCTTAGCCATAAAACCTATTCCTAACCACATATCTCAATTTACGATCCAAGTTCCTGTTATAAGCCTTCTTTCTTCACTGTATTAAACAACTAATATGAAAAGGTTCATTATCAAAAGTTGTTATCCATTACAGTTTTATTTATCATAAATTGCATCATAACAATAAACTATTTTCTAACTGATAAATATACCACTCAAAGTCGTCCATATGATTTACATCTGTCAGATTTACTATTCTGATTACTTTAGCCTGTGTAAGTCTTAGTCAGTCATTTCATGTAACCCATTTATCAAGTGAAAATTTTGTACTCAGTTTTAAGGTGTACAATGTAATAAACGGTTTTACTTCACTGATAAAGGGAAGTAAATACGTTTGAGTTCCTCCATGTGATCGATTGGTTCGAATCCAAGTGTCCCGTATCTAGCAGATGAAATACAATCGAATGGTAGATGCTGATTCGACATAGAATGCTAAATAAATTACGTAGGTCTTCGTCTCTCTGTTCTTCAAAGTAAAGTTTAAGAGTATTTTTTAGAATGATGAGATTTTACGAATAAATGAGTGTTTTCTTACTTGTAATTGTAGATAGAGAACAGTTTAATTTAACTACTCCAATAGCAAATATCATTTACATGATCGAATGGATGCCACGAGTTTGTATTGAAACACAAAATCAAACAAATACAGAATTTATTGGAACACGAAGAAAAAGAATAGCAGTGAGTGTTTGTATTAATAAATGTATTTGTTGATATTCCATTTTTAATCACAATTTATCAGCCTCCGTTTTCATATGTACATCTTAAGTGAATCGTCTCCATATACCCTTGTAATCACAAATTTAATTATATTTGTATTGTGGCGTCCAGGAACCACGTTTCGTTCTATCTTGGACCCATTAGCTAAACGTATCTACATCCTAGTGTCAATATTTATAGAGAAACTTCCAACAAGCACTTTTCAGTTTAAACACGATCACATTATTCACCGTGCTACTGAGTCCACATAATTACTAACTTGTGTTAATCAACATTCATGAAGGAGAAGATTAATCATTAATTACTTTTCAAAATATATTGAAATCTCATTATCTTGGTTTTGTATTGTAAAATTTATGCTAATTTCTGTAAGCTTTCTCATGAACTAAAATCATTTACGTTCATCAAAATTAAGTTGAATTTGATCAGAAAAAAAGACATCCTCATCATGATTTGGACTGTATATGAATACTCAATAACTACGTTGTTAGCTACAAACCAAAGAACTTATCTCAATCATTATTAAGGTAAGTTACATACTGAAGTGGTGTACTACTCTTTATGTAATTGGTTAAGAAATAACCATGATTCTACTGCATAAACCTCCTGAGTCTTTCAAAGTACCTAATACTAAAAAGAAAGCTGTCCAGTCAGTTGAAGGTTACCAATAAGAAGGCCCTGAACCTATTTTGTTCCATTTGTTACTTTTCAACAAAAAGTTTCTTTAATCTCGTGAGAATGGATGGCTTCCGTTGTCTCTGAAACCCATATGATGATATTGAGATAAACAGTATTTTAAACAGTCAGTCATTTCATTATAATTTCTTTTGTGCCATTATTAAAGTGACAAATTATTGTATGTGTGTAAGCACATTTTGTACAATGTTATGGGCATATTAGTTTGAATAATAAATTATTTCTTTTCAGTGCTTATAGAGAACTAACATCAACCCCTTTGACATTCAACTTTGAAATTTATTCCTTAATCAATACTGAATTTTATGAACTTCTTACACATATTTATTAACATCAGATGAGTTTTGTGGATATTATAGTAATTTCAATTGTTAAGATCATGAGTCAGTTGAAGCTAGACCACCATGGAAAACCTTGAAGCACTGGACGGCCGTTTCGTCCTATTGTGGGACTCCTCAGCAGTGCACATCCACGCCCTCGCCCTCTGCGAGATTCGAACCCAAGACCCACTGGTTTCGCGCGCGAGCACATAACCACTAAACCACTGCGCTGGCATCCAACGGTGTTAATGTCTAACTTCAACTAGTCCACGAAATTGAGCGACACACCCACCATTGTCTTCAGCGAGTTATGGGCATATTATGTTGAATAATAAATTATTTCTTTTCAGTGCTTATAGAAGACTAACATCAACCCCTTTGATATTCAACTTTGAAATTTACTCCTTAATCAATACTGAACTTTATGAACTTCCTACACATATTTGTTACCTTAAAGTAAATTATGAGGAAATCTGTCTATCACTGACATTCGATAGATGGACAGTATTTTTAATATACTACTTAATATATTATACATCACTATTATCTAATAAATAGTTATTTTCAATCTTATTTTAGGAATATGAACTAAGAAATATACTTTTAACTGATTTGCAGTTTCAATGTCATTATGAAGCTAGTGTATTTATTATGCTAAATCATCATAATAAAACTAGTAGTATCAGTATGAATAATCATTTAACAAATAACAAATCCCCTATCTTATTTAAATGGACTACTTGTTTTTGTACACCAGCATGTCAAAATGTTGTGATCAGAGATAGTGTAACTCCGAAACATTGTTATCTTCAAAGTAAGTATGATTTTTTTTAAATGTCTTATTGATATTTTTTTGTTAAGATAAGTATACTTTATTGTTCTTTATTTATTTTTGTTATAATTCTCTCTTATTACAATCTAGCTATTCCTATTACTTAGTATTCTTAGACACCAATTGACTCGATAAGTTCCTAAATCAGAACACGGTTGAACAGGAAAGAAATAATATTCCAAATAAAAAGGGTGGATGGAAGTAAGAAGCACAATAAGAAAAACGTTAATATATTCATAGTTTTTACATGAGAAGATTCTAGAGTGTTCTCCAAGTATCGAGTAGCGCTGATTGGACGATGAATGACTTTGATGAGAGGTATATCCTACTTAGATCGTAAACATTCTGTCGCCATACCGCGTTAATATGACGTAGATAATAAAAGTCATATACGAATCGCACCAAGGATACGTATATTACAGACATGTTAATGCTGAAAGTCAGACCATGGACCAAAGATGCGGTGAATGTATAAAGCATTAAAGTTAGGTAATAGACCGACCCGACAAATAATGTGATTCAGTTTTTTTCCAATTCATGTAAGCAATAAAGGAAATGGATAGATACATACATACCACCATCCATAAATCTATAAAGATTAGTCAACATTACACGTAAGTAATTGGCACGGGAAAATATATAAGTGATAGAATAACTGGAAAGGTTAAAATAATTATCCTCATAACTTTTTACATTCCTCACGAAAATAGATTTACAAAATAACAGGAAATAGTAAAGTCATTAATTTGTTCAGAAATTGGAATATGGTCACTAGAATATATTAATTCAATTTAGAAGCCAGGAGGAAAAATGTAGGCTTAACCAGAATCCCCTTAACATAATTCTTTCTTGTAAACCAAGTTTATAATTATTAGCCTATTTTACTTTTTCATCTTATCAAGCTTCTTCATCAATACTTCAACCAGTTGAATTAACATACACTTTATTAAGTAATGAAAACTCAATGGATCTACGTCGTTTGCAACAGAATCAAATGGATGAATTCATTGTTGTGGCTGAAGCAAATGGACCATATTTATCCAAACAAACAAATATAAAATCGAGTTTAGACACTGTTAACTACACTGCCATTGTCACATGGCATCCTGTTACATCTACTGGACATTCAAAAAGTGAATCAAGACGTTCATCGAGAACACTGAAAAATCGTACACCAAGTATAAAAACTACAAATCCAGAAATACGTGGTGTTCGATTAACTTGGGGTCCAAGATTATATGAACCAATAGAATATGAAGTGTACAGTAATATTATTCAACCTCTTATGGATCCAGAAAAAACTCAGTCTAAAGTTTTAGATTTAGTAAGTATGATTTTCACTAATTCTAAACTAGTAATTATTTATTGAATCTAGTTATTTTTTAACTAATCTTTCATAAAAAACAAAGAAGATTATGTGTTAATAAGCATTAAAAGGTTTAGAATAAATCAACAGTTCTAACGGTGTTTCATAAGATGATTAACTTTGACCAGTATTGAAGACTAAAGTATGTTACCCATCACCAGATAATTCAGTACATATCCACCTCATCACTATTAGCTCTTCCAAAATCATTGAACTTGGCACTCTTACACACCTGAAAAGTCATGATTCTTGATAAAATATTCATACTCTTTCAAGGATTCAAACCAGTATCCTACACAATAACCAATAGGTTTTCTTGAAACTGATGACCAGATTGCAAATATCAATCAATAGATTTTAGTTACTATTATAACATAATATAAAATTAATTACTATTTACCATCAATAGTTCATGTGTATTATTGACCATATTAATTGTAAACTATAATAACTGAAATACACTAGACAAAAGAACCGATCATATTGTAGTGGTCTTTTTTAAATTAACTTTGTAGAATGTCCCCGGTCTTCAGCTTAAAGGACTTAAGCAAGAAACATTATACATTGTTCAAGCTCAAATGATTAGCGAAAAAGAAGATGGACCAATTTCAACTATTTATTTCATGACACCAACTAGTAAGTTGTCATAATTCTTTTTCAAAATAAAGGAAAGGAGCATGTTTGTCAAATTTTAGTAGTTTATGACTAAGTCAGTTGTAATTATTTACATCGCATATATATATATATATATATATATATATATATTCGCCGACATTACACTCACAATCCTCACACGAAGAGGATATAAGTTTCTTATCAATTAGATAACGCATGAAAACGAATAGTACTCTTACTTACTGAATTACTCCCTTACTTGCATACGCCAGTTACTCTTCTTGGAGGAGCATAGGCCAACGATTAGGCTTCTCCAAACAAATCTATCCTTGAGTCTACTTTCATCCCGTTCTCAATTTCTATTCATTTTCGTCATATCGGCCTCAAATATCAAAGAAATGTGTTCTTCGGTCTACTTCTTCTCCTCTTGCCTTCAAAATTTTAAGCTAGCACTTGCCTCATTATGCAGTTTGGTGATTTCCACAATCTATGTCTTATCCACTTCTAATAACCTTTCCTAACTTCCTATTCAGATGGAAGATGGTTTGTTCTCTCCCACAGTAGGCTGTTACTCATGTTGTCTGGTCAACGAACATTGAATATCTTTTGTAGATAATTGTTTATAAATAGTTGTACATTTTTGATGATAGTTGTAGATGTCTAATTTCCAACTGCATACAATGGAATTGTCTTGACGTTCGTATTGAAGATTCTGACTTTGATATTGACTGTCAGTTGTTTCTAGTTTCATGTGTTCTTCAATAGCAGTAGTAGTTGATGTATACTGACGAATTCCATTCAATTGATTGCTCAACAATAATCCTTAGTGTCGTGATTTGGTCAGTATACTATCAATCCTTACGGAATCCGGTCTGTTGATTTCGAAGTTGGGCGCCTACTGAATCTTTCATCCGGTTCAGTAATACTGTTGAGAACATTCATTGTTACTAATGATATTTTGATTCTTCTATAGTTTTCACACATGCTGACATCTCCCTTATTTAGTATTTTGATGATGTATCTCTCTCTGCAGTCTATTGGTACTTCCTCTCAAATCTTTCTGAAGAGATCATAAGGCATGCTTGCAGTTAATTCCATGTCTGACTTCAGTGCTTCACCAGGTACATTGTTTGGTTTTATTAATTTCCAACTCTCCATTTATTTGATGACCACACTGATTTGTTTGATTGTTGGTGAAGTAACTTCTGCAAGAAGGTCCGCAGGTGCTGCTTCGACATCCAGTTTGTTCATTGGGATTGATCTTTACAAGAGCTCTTCAAGTTGCTGTACTTATCTGTGTCTCTGTTCTTGAATACCATTGACTTCCTTGCCTTCCTTGTTCTTGACTGATCGCTCTGGTTTACGATATTTCCCTGATAGTTTCTTCGTTTTGTCACATAGTTGTTTCATATTTCCTTCTCCTGCAACCTTATCCGCTATCGCTTCTAGATCTTTCATATATTTCCACTTGTTGGTACTAATGCTCCTCTTTACTTGCTTGTTTGCTTCAGCGTATTAGGCCTATCGCCATTCTAGTTCCTTTCTCTTAGTCCATGTCGTCCAATGATATTTCCATACTCGATGCTGGCCATTACAACTTTGGTCAGTCCCTTTCCTGGACATTTCTCTACGAGATGAGGTTGCTAAGTTCATGGAGAAACCTCCTTTATCCAAGCCTGTGACCGGCAGTAACGATAGAAGAGCTCCAGGTAGAGTTAAAAAGTACTCACTTTCTGCAAATCTCATTTCGGAAAAATATTAGTACTCTACAAACTACAGAATACTAGCGTAATATTAATTAAGTAAAAACAGACGGATGTGAAAATAATAAAAATACTTAGTTACTTGAAGTGTTGATACACAATAGACAAGTGAATAATTCCATCTTTTCCAGTAATTTAAGGTTAGAAAAAGCATATTTCTTCTTTAAAAGTAAAAACACATCGCGAAATCTTCGTCTTTAGTTGAAGACAACTCATTTATATATTTTCTACATTTTTTCGTCATATAGACAAGAATAATGCACTGCCCAATTATCAGTCTGTTCATGAAAAGAATATAAACCTTATATCCATCATTATTCTACTTCAATTCATCTATAATATTGTATAAATGACTAGAACGTGAACAAAAAATGGTTATTATATAGTTTATATTCATTTTTTGGTATCCTCATTCTGCATGATTATCTGATATATACTACTTAAATTCTGTAAATAAATTGATATGTATACATATCCTTATAAGTTATAAAAAGGTAATCCAATAACATCATCAAATGTACATGATCTTTTGAAACATTGAATTCTATATAAAAATACAACAACAACAAAAAACTGAATGATTACATTGACAAAACAAAAATAACCAAAACTATAATTCATTACATTCTCTATAATCTGAATGATTTCCCATAAACATTATTATACACAATCCCAGATATATGTATAAATACTACAAAAATTATTCAATCGAATTGTTTCATACTACTTCATTTTATAAGAATGAAAATTTTATAGAAGACGAAAAAGAAGAATAAGAAGAAGAAAGACTCCACTTCCTGAATCACTATAATAATACACTTCAGAAATAAACATAGTTCAATGTTCCAATTCAATTATTTGTTCAGAAAACTTATATGATTTAAAATATTTTTCATTATTATTTCTGTTATAGTTTTTTTTCTTCTTTGAATTTTAATAAAAATAAATAAATTCTATTTGATCTACATTTCGTTTTAAACCGTTTTTTCTTTTAAAAATCCCTCCCTTCAGTAGAAATTCATATGCGCGTTCATGTCTATTCTGTTGAAATGAAGAAAAAATTGATAATTGATGCATTCGTGAAGCTGTTTTGATCTAGAATTATTTCTAGTATAACTTATACTCATATATTGATGACCGTGCAACTATGTTTGTTTCCTTCTTACTCATAAAAATAGTACAAACATTTATGTGAATCAAAATTGCAGATACCCCTTACAAACGAATGCATGAAAACTAAGTCTATAGTTAGATTGTTCTCCAACCATCTATCATAAATAGTACACTATAATCTCAATAAAATTAGTAGTTGCATAAAAGATCTATTCGATGGAATGAATAAATGGATGAAATCTAGAGATTCCTCTAAAATGTTTTGTGGTGTTCAGTGAATTCCCTACATTAAAATATTCATAAACCAAATATAAACCAGGTTTCTGATCTCTCCCAAACATTTTCAATTGTAATTCATTTGATATTGTTTTACTTGAATCTTCCCATTGGTGTTTTAGGACTGAAATTGATCAGTCGCTTATTGGCATATGTGCATACTGTGCGTATGCCTCGATATTGCCTTAATTTGCAAGCATTTTAAGCAAAGATGGATAGTGGCTAGCAGTGGACGAAACGCGCGTCCTGGATTCCACTGCTAGCCACTATCCATCTTTGCTTAAAATTTTCAATTGTGTCTAGCATTAATTGTTGTTTGTACATACTGTTAAAATATCACTCCTTCAATCATCGTTTGAAAGATTTGGCTGTAAATATTGAAATCGGGAAATTCAGGATAGTAGTGTGCTGATAATTCTTATCAAGCTGTTGGGCATGATAATCATTATCAAAAGTAAAATGTTTGTCGAATTATGACCACCATAGATTTCGTTAGTTATGCGTGAAAAAACTGTTAGTCAACTAATACTAAAGTTATTCATTGACTGTTAAACAAATGAAATGAACGACCAGTTTTCATCAGATAAGACGCGATTTAGCGCTCTTAAAAAAAGTCTACTGTATAAAGGATTGTTGATTTGCACTCGGTTTCAGGAAACGTTTCAAAAACTTTCGGAACAATCCACTTTCCAGCAACTGTTTTGTTCTGACGGAACGAATGATGTAAAAAATTTTCCGAATTACTACTAAATATAATTTTGTTGTATTATTACTGAGTAACTAGATTGCTATATATATATATATATATACCATTCTTAAAAGTCTTGTTTCTCACTTGTAAAGTAGAACAGAGAGAACTGTTGTACAGTAAACTCACCGTTTGGTTGGAAGATGGTTATCTCGAGATGGTGAAGATTTGTAGCTCAGGTGGATGATTTTGGTGGTTTTGTTCTCTCGCCTACTCCATAAGTGAAGCAAGTTGGCAAAAGCCAATTGAGCCTTTTTAATCTGATCCGAGATCTAGTCAGACACCAAACCATGAGGACTGATCAGACTCCTAAGATAAATGAAGCGGTCAATGCGTCCACAAGCTTCATTCCCTCTCATTAATTCAGGTACTGATGCGAGCCTACTCTGAAATAACATTTCATATTTGGAAGGACAGAAGCCCATACCAAACATGCTCGCATTGTTCCTTAATGTGGTCAGAAGACTGTATTTTGTCAAGGTCTTCACCAAAAGGGAATATATCGTCCGCATATTCTAAATCAACAAGTGGATCTCTCATTAGATCAATTCCTGAAAAGTCAGGCGTTGAAAGTTTTATCTATAAAAAGATGTATATAAGAAAGTTAAATAAAAATCACCAAGGCAGACAACCCTTACGAGGACCAGTTGAAGTAACCAATTCCTACGATAGTTAACCATAAGCTCTGACTCGACCAGTAGTGTTTGCATAGAGGGCCTGTACAAGGTTAATGTACTTTTTGGTATATCTTTCAATGGCCGATACTGCCACAGAACGTCACGATCAACAAAGCCGGGCGCCGCCTCAAGGTTAAGAAACACAACTATAGTCGGCCGTCAAAAAGTATGTTTGTTTCAGAGCCTACCGAAGAGTGAATGTTTGGTTCATGTTTGGTTTTCCAGAGTTTGCACTCCACATGCTCTAGGTAAATTTCAAAGTATTATTGAGGATAATATTTTGGACGCTATAATATTTAAAGTGATTCCTCTGATCGTCACAAGATGATTTTTGTCCTTTGTCATAGACTGGAACAATCAGCAATCGAGACCAGTCAGATAGATTTATGTCCAGTTCCCAGATTCTAGCTATGATATCAGTTAATCTAACTGAGAAAATTGAATCATTAGATTATCAAGCAAACAGTAGATGCGAAATAGACCAAATTAGAATTAGGATTCTGATTGGTGACCTGAAACGCAGCATTAGTCAACGGTTATAAGACATAACATGACTATTTACACTTAATATTTTCTTCTTTACTTGTATCTGGTGTTTGAAAATGAGATTGAGAAGTCTTGGGTCTGAGTTTTTTACTTAATATCATCTATCTGAAAGAGCTGTGTGAAAATTTAAAAACGTTGACGCCTATTAGAAGCTTAGAATTGCATCGATGGAAGACTTGGAACTTAGAAATTTCTAGGACTTTCATTCTTATTTACATTGTTGCATAGTGAAACAATTATGACGAACCATTAAGCTCTTCCGATTGAACGACATAAACCAAAGGTGTTGATAAGTTTTTTATGATATGCATGTTTTGAGGGAATAAATTGCCTATACACAGAATTTAAAAGTATACAGCCGTGTCACTGAAAAGATACGTATATTTCAAGAGAAAAAACTTGTCTATTTTTTCAATCTGTATAAGCGATATGTAATAGAAGATTTGTTGAAATCCATTGTTAATCTACGCAAAATAACTTCATTAGGTTGATGTATATTAAAATAAAGATCTATACATGGTGGGATAATATGTTATCACAGGAAATAGTACATCATTGGTCATCGTCTGAATCAGCAACAAGTACAGTTTGTCCGCCTAATGTAGATTCCTGATTCATAACTGTTGAACTTAGAACATTTTCTTTCAATGCCGTTCCATCCCATAAACTATTTTGATATAGCACAACTGTTTTTGTGTTGTCTTCTAAATTACATACACTGGAATTATCTTTAGTTTGGAAATTCGAAAAAAGGAGAGAACGAGTCTGAAAAATAACGGCAAATGAAGTATTACTAGGAAAGTTGTAATTATAGTAAGTATACACAATACAGCTCTTAACAAAAACATAATCTTTAGATGACTAACTAAAACATAACATAGAACCTGATAACATAACATACCGACGACTGAAGACTAAATATTCCAAAGCTAAATGTTCAAAAGCTAGAATAATTCAAGTAGGCATGAAATATTACTAAATGCTACATTATCCATCGTCTGATCTTCTGTCATTGGAGTGCGAGGAGACAAGATCATAAGTTTCAATATGAATAAAACGATAACTTCATACATGTGTCATTGCTTTGTTTTGTCGGATCGATTTCGGCTTTATTTCATTTCATTTATTCTATGTACCCGTTGCATATGTGCAACACACATACAAGGCATTTCTTATTCAATACAAGTTAACAATTGCCACTAATTGACGATAGATTCAATATCTAAATAAATATTTTTACACTTTTGCTCTAAATGGATTCGTCAATCATAGTTTTCAAACAATTGAAGTTGATTATTACACCAATCGACTTCGAATAGTTTTATGATTTCCTAATATTTCTTGGTTCCTATGAAAATACTTGCCTAGATACACTTTAATGCGAGAAATTGAAATTAGACTGAGTAAAAATAGAAATGCATAGCTATCACCCTTAGTGAGGTAGTGATATACATATAGATATTCAACTAATGGCCATTATCTTGAAAATTAATCCAAACTTTTATACAGAAGAATTTGTAAAGATTACTGACTTTATAGTTTTACAACACGAACTGACAAACCATCAGGAACCAGGAACCACTGAACAGTTGTCTCATGATAGTACGCGGATTCCCGGCAGTGCGCATTCAAGACCCAACCAGAAATCGAAGGTACGATCTTTATGCCCGGGGCGAGTGCTTAACCTTAAGACTACCAAACTGTCGTCCAATGGTCCACATGTCTAAATTCATTCCATTTGTGATATTGTGTGATCATCATCCATCGCCACTGGTAATATCCGTTTCACCCACGATATCGTAATTCGAACTATTAAACGATATTGTCAATTCTGCTACCAACTTACTTACTTACTTACTCCTGTTACTCCCAATGGAGCATAGGCCACCGACCAGCATTCTCCAACCCACTTTGTCTTGGGCCTTCTTTTCTAGTTCCATCCAATTCTTGTTCATTTCTCTCATATCTATTTCCATTTCTCGGCGTAATGTGTTCTTTGGTCTTCCTCTTCTCCTTTGGCCTTCAGGATTCCATCTGAGGGCTTGTCTTGTGACGCAGTTGGGTGCTTTCCTCAAAGTGTGTCCTATCCATTTCCAGCGCTTCTTCCTGATTTCTTCCTCCGCTGGGATCTGGTTTGTTCTCTCCCACAGTACGTTGTTGCTAATAGTGTCCGGCCAACGGATCTGAAGTATTTTGCGTAGACAACTGTTAATAAACACCTGTATTTTCTGGATGATGGCTTTCGTAGTTCTCCAGGTTTCTGCCCCATACAGTAGAACTGTCTTGACATTTGTATTGAAAATCCTGACCTTGGTGTTGGTTGACAGTTGCTTTGAGTTCCAGATGTTCTTCAGTTGTAAATATGCTGCTCTTGCCTTACCGATCCGCCTTCACATCTGCACCAGATCCACCATGTTCATCAATGATGCTGCCTAAATATGTAAAGGTTTTTACATCTTCCAAATCTTCTCCTTCAATTATGACTGGACTGGTGCATGCTGTGTTGTATCGGAGAATCTTGCTTTTCCCTTTGTGTATATTCAGACCTACTGATGCTGAGGCTACTGCTACACTGGTCGTCTTCTCTTGCATTTGTTGTTGCGATTGCGATAGGAGGACCAGATCATCTGAGAAGTCTAGATCGTCCAGCTGCAGCCTAGATGTCCACTGTATCCCGAGTTTCCTTTCAGATGTTGATGTCTTCATGATCAAGCCGATCACCAGGAGAAAGAGAAAGGGTGAGAGTAAGCAACCTTGCCTGACACCAGTCTTTACTTCGAACGAGTCTGTCAATTGTCCTCCATGCATGATTTTGCAGTTTAATCCATCATATGAATTCCGTATGATATTGACTATCTTCTGAGTCACACCATAGTATCGAAGAAGCTTCCATAGTGTTGTTCTGTCCACGCTATCAAATGATTTCTCGTAGTCAATCAAGTTGATGTACAGTGATGAATTCCATTCAATTGATTGTTCTACAATGATACATAGAGTTGCAATTTGGTCTGTACACGATCGATCCTTACGGAATCCATCCTGTTGGTCTCGAAGTTGGGCGTTTACTGAGTCCTTCATCCTGTTTAACAATACCCTGTTGAAGACTTTTCCTGGTATTGAGAGAAGAGTGATGCCCCTGTAGTTATCACACTTGCTGAGATCGCCTTTCTTCGGTATTTTGATCAGGAGTCCTTCTTTCCAGTCTTTTGGTACTTGTTCCTCATCCCAAATCTCATTGAAGAGAATGTGGAGTATCCTTGCAGTTGCCGCTACGTCTGCTTTTAGTGCCTCTTCTGGAATGTTGTCTGGTCCTGCTGCTTTGCCACTCTTGATTTGTCTGATGGCCATGCTGATTTCTTCAATTGTTGGTGGGCCAACATTATTTGGGAGGTCTGTGGGTGCTGCTTCGATGTTGGGTGGGTTCAGTGGAGCTGGTCGATTCAAGAGTTCTTTGAAGTGTTCTACCCACCTGTTTTGTTGCTCTTCAATGTTGGTGATTACCTTGCCTTCTTTGCTTTTCACTGGTCGTTCTGGTTTGCGGCGATTTCCAGAGAGTTTCTTTGTCGTGTCGTACAGTTGTCTCATGTTTCCTTCCCTTGCAGCCTTTTACGCCGTCGTTGCTAAATCTTCCACATATTTACGTTAGTCGGTTCTGATGCTCCTCTTCACTTGTTTGTTTACTTCTGTGTATTCAGCTTGTGCCTTGGATTTTTCTGCTCTTGTTCGACTGGTATTGATTGCTGCCTTCTTGTTCCTCCTTTCTTGAATCTTATCCAGTGTATCAACAGTGATCCATTCCTTGTGATGGTGCTTCTTGTGACCCAGGACCTCATGACATGTTGAAGTGATTGCCTCTTCGATCCTCTTTCAGTTGCTCTCCACAGTAGTTCCTTCTCCACTGAGTACATCATGAAAGGCCTGGAACCTATTGCTGAGGACTATCTTGAATTTGTTGAGTTTGTTAATATCCTGAAGGAAGGCCGTATTGAGTTTTTGTGATGTTGTCCGCCCCGTTGTGCAGTGCTTCTTGAGTTTCAATTTCATTTTGGCGATCAGCAAGTGATGGTCTGATGCTATATCAGCTCCTCTCTTGGTTCTCACGTTTTCCATCATCCTCCTGAACTTTTTGTTGATGCAGATATGGTCGATTTGCTTTTATGTTGTGTGATCCGGTGAAGTCCATGTGGTTTTGTGTATGCGTTTATGTGGGAATACAGTGCCGCCTATGACCAGTTTATTAAAGGCATATAAATTTGCAAATCTCTCACCATTTTCGTTCCTTTCTCCCAGTCCGTGTCGTCCCATGATGTCTTCATATCCAGTGTTGTCCGTTCCAACCTTGGCATTGAAATCTCTCATCAGAATGGTCAGGTCCTTTGTTGGGCACTTCTCGACGACTTACTGCAGCCTATTGTAGAATTGATCTTTAGCGTCTTCATTGTAGTCGTTGGTAGGCGCATAGCATTGGATGGTGTTCATTGAAATGCCCTCTTTCTTTGTTTTGAAGGAGGCTTTAATGATCCTTGGTCCATGAGATTCCCATCCTATAAGTGCATTTTGTGCTTGTTTGGACAGCATCAATGCAACTCCTTATGTATGTGGAGCATTTTCTTCTTCATGGCCGGAGTATAACAGAAGCTCCCCTGAAGCTAGTCGTTGTTGTCCAACTTGCGTCCAATGTGTTTCACTGATCCCAAGCACCTCTAGGTTGTATCTCCTCATTTCTGCAGCAATTTAAAAGGCTCTCCCCTGCTACCAACTAAGTAATCATATTTATAAACTACGTGATTATTACTAGCCACTTTATTATCCGTTATATGCACAACCAGCATACCTTTTTAGAAGGGATTTCGTCACAACGGCCGTGATCCTGGTGTGGATTAAGCACCTATAAATTGGAAACGTTACAAATGATCACTTAATTTAGAAATAAAAAACATGAAAGCAATACCTAAAGTTACTATGGTGAGGTGATATGTAAATATTACCGAAAAACGGGAACAAAATGCAAACCCCACTCAAAATATCTAACCAACTTAGTTAGTCAATTAGCGTCATTTTTATCATAAAGCTTCATATAAACACCTAGCCGCTGTACACACATAGGGGAGCTAAATTAAAAACTAAGGCATTCGGACTTTTAACCACCAACCAGAGGGTTTGAACATCATTTTACTACCTCAGTTTTGAAAGCTATTTATTATCACTTGACGTAGTCGTAGCGCTAAACATTCTGGGTCCGAAGAGGAAGTTGTACGAAGTGAGTATGGTTTTAAAATGCAAAAATAAAAATCAACCGATTAAGTCATAAACTTCCGTTGACTGAAGTGGTCGAAATATGTAGTACATATACGGAGCTAACACCAACTTTGATGCCTTGGTTTTAGCATAGGAACATGTTGACAATCCAGGAATAGTCAGACCGAATCATACCAAAAGCTTATGAAGTGAGAGACTGCTGGTTTAAGCCCTGTACTTAAATTCACGCTTTCTTGTTTGGAACCATGTGACAATAATAATCCATAGTTGGAGACCTTGGATAACGAATAAAAATGGATTGGTGCTTCAGTTGGATCCATTTATTATCTTCCTCTACATTTTAAAATCGCGTTATTTTATATTTTTGATTTTAAGATGATTTATTCTTTCCATACTTGATTTTTTATTGCAACCGATAGCATAACTCCTAACCCATGGTAAGTCACCTTGTAAACTTCCATCGTCGTTATGCTGTTATAGGATGTTAACCTGGATCGATACTTATTCACGTCGCGTCTTAAATTGTTTATAGACGACTTAGCTGACTGAAACCACTTCAGCGTTTACGAAAAATATGATCACTGAACGGACCTTACTTTCATTACAAAACGACCGACCCTGGGTGATGCCCTGGTACGGTCGAGGGCGGGGAGAGTCAGTTCTCCTCCTAGAAATGCTCTCGCATGACCACGCCACTGCCATGGGGGTCCTACTCCCTGCCTTCTCGTGGCGGGGGTGTTGTTTACAGAATTGAGAGGATGAAAAGCGAATATTCGGTGCTTTAACCAGGTTGGTGGACACGGAGGACCCACCTAGGGGAGTTGGAAAACCCTGGTTCCAGATCAACGGTGCACATGGACCTCAGGGGCCTGAAGGAACAGATAGCGTATGAATCAATCGTTGGTCACCGGCTACCATGGGACTGCATCTCCTTACGATGCTCCACTGCCTTTTGGATCGGACCCTTAGGTCGAAGGCTCTGGGTGTGGCCCCCTAAGAAAACCACCCGCTTCGGTTTGGGCACCCGAGCAGTATCACAGTCCTCATACAAATCAAGTGACTTGTGTGGCGCATATGTATTCGGTGCCCCTTTTGTATCAATATTTATGTGTTCAAATAAATAAATAAATAATACTTGATATATGAATATCACATATTATGCTATTCATGAGCAAGCATTTATTGAAACCTGAATACAACCTTTAATATAACTGTCTCCATTTTAGTTAATAAAGTAGTAGTTTACAACTGAAAACAATTACACAAAAATAGGTTAATGTGTTCCTGACACACAATTATGTACCGATAACTTCCAGAGCTAACACCTACAAAAACCTTCGGTAGAGTAAAAGTAAATGTTTCAATCTCTCTAGACAATAAACGGGCTGTAATTACCAAAACAAAAATACGAAAACTCACTGGTTGGTTTACTTTTGGAGCATTATTTTCGTTATTTATAAAAGACAACTTTCCGTCCGACCGTAAGATTTGAGTGTCATGGTCATTTTCTTGAGATAACATACATCTGGATGATAAAACATTTGGATTACTTTCTTTATTCACCAGGACAGTATCATCACTTTGAAGGCTATGAAAAACATCTGCTCATCAATTATAGTGGTATATGAGGAAATACAAATCTGAAAACAAAGGCAGCATTAATAAGCTGTACTTTTTTCACTCTTCCACACAGTCCTAGACATAACGAGATCTTGTCAACAATGGGCAATGTTGTATGCGGAACCTACTTGTGAAAAAGCTATCTGCTTAAAGTGAACATCTCATAACAGTTAAATACAGTAGATTTAAAAACCTGACGTGAACTAACGCTGGTAATTTTTGAGTTCAATCTAAGGAGTTGCAATCATAGTTAACAGAAGTGAAGCTACTTATGCTGTTAACTTCAGTTACCAACCAAAAGTTAATCAGTGATTCCTTTCTCGTATAAAGAAAAGGTTTCAATCTCTCTGTTTATATGGCTATTAACATAATGTTTACTGATAATTTTGGATCGTTTTCTTATATCTGTGTCTAGCTCGTTAATTTACCGGAGGCAAACGATCAAACTAATACTACTATCCGAATGGGTGGTAGACTTTTGGTTTAATGAAAAGTTTATATGCTCACTACTTTAATTTCAACGTATATTTTTGTACGTATATGCAGATTGGTTGCCCCTGCTGGTCTTAATACTATCCGATCAATATTTTTAAAAATCTAGGACTAACAACAAATGTCAGCTAGAATGGCATAGATAGGTTATTATGGTTATACAAACTCCATCACAATGACGAAAGGTGTCGGAAATATTTTAAATAATATAAACTTCCTGTGTCAAAATAGCTTACAACACTCGGTAAGTTTATCAGCTTGTGACAGATGTCAGTCAGCTATCGGTCCAAGTTGTGTGTGATTTTAGGTAATGTATCTCACAAAGTTTATATTTAAAAAATCATACGTAGCACTATAAACAACGAAAATTACTTTTCGCCCGTCGATAAAGTACTTATATGTTGTAGTGGAACAGGAGTTCTGCTTGATGACAAACGACGGCTACACTCAGAGCGCTGGGAATTTGGAAGTGAAGATCCATCTGAAGGGAAGGTCGCAAATACGTACCGAGCACTGAGTCTTGTCTCGTGAGTACAAGCAAAAATTATAGGTTTGCCCGGTCGATCACAATAAATTCTTATCATAGGAGAAATCAACTCACAGAATGATAAAATGACCTAAAAAAAACATTTACACACGATAAATTCGAAAAATAATTTAAAATTTGACACCACCAGACACTTATCATAAGGAATATATAATCTTGTAAATGTACGCCGAAACATATGCCATTTTGATGAGTTGGTGATATGCACGTACATAAACACATTTAATTTAAAATGACAACTGAATAGGAATTTCTCATATATACTGGTAGCCACTAACTCGTGAATGAAGAAAAAATATTTATCCCAGAAGTGGCGACGAATAGTTATTTTGGGATAACTGTTACATAACTACATTAAAAGACCCAATAAGTCCGAAAGACTCAATAAGTCCGAAAGACTACAGTCAGTAAAGGGAAGCTTTTTATTTGAATTCAAATAAAAAAGTTTACGCACCATACCTTAAATATAGATCTGTCACATTCATATTACCAGTTGTCAGAAATTTCTAGCCAGAAAAACCGATGCGTTAATCTACCCTAACCCTACTGTTAGTTAGCAAATCAGTTCCCAACTACATTATGCTTATAAATACTAACGGACACTTTATCAACAGCAATAATATGTACTTACATCCGTGTCATTAAAAAGACTAGAACTAAATCCGATTATGAAAACGAGACAATCAAAACAATACGAAATAATTATTTTGAATATCACAAATATGTTGTCATGGTAGTGAAGTAGTTGAGTATACATCAAAGGATGAGTACAAAGAGCACTAATTATCTCTAAACATAGTTACGAAAGACAGCAGAAATAACAATGATACAAATAATCGGTTGTAAATAGTTTCGGAATGCTACCCGTGTATAGTGGTGAGGAGTATTTAATGTGATTGACTCACAGACACTAAGTATTTGAGAGTTAATATCATTCAATTACCCAAGACGAATTATGTGAAAAACGGTTTGTGTTATCAAATAATAGTGTTATCTACTATATGCAGCTCATAACAAATCCTTTGGTAAGAACGATCCTGTTTACTATCAAAAACACTTTACTTACTAGTTTTTGTCGCTAAAGAATTTCGATTTTTCATACGTAGCAAAATTCGGTACCACTATCAAAATTATTCTAAAATTTCAACTGCGTATGAAATTACAAAGCAATAGCAACGCAACTATTACATGCTTTCATGAAATGATGGGCCTAACTTCGATAAATTTTGTCACCCAGATGTTTGTTAAATGCATAGCATTGTTAACGTTTTAAATGTAAGCAATTTTCGAAATACATGGCAGCATTACCCGTAATTCCTTTTGGCAGAATGTGACTTCACATTTTGAATGGACACGGTAGACGTCAAATTCAGTAGCATTCAAAGGAATTTGTGTTGTTATCATAGAGGGACCTAGGAATAATAAGAAAATTAGTTGGCTGATTAAAACCTGTTTGAAATGTGTGATTCTGAAAAGTGCATTCCCCCGAATCTAAAAGAATTGTTAGCTCTTCAGAAGACTGGCGAAAATTGTTGATAATTTCTCCCAGTAAACTAAGGACATAAAAAGACAGGCAACATACCGTGCTGATATAACCAAATGATTAGCGCTTTCTTCTAATGAGTAAACAGCTTCTAACTGTTCACAATCGATGATTGACATGTTATACGTCTTAACGATTCCGAATTTACAGAAGTACTGAACAGTCAGAACAGTATCCTGGGATGATAAGAACATCTTGCATTTAAGAACGGATCTCTCCATTGCGGAAGTAAGTTTGAAGACGTTAGAACATGACTATGGAAATTACAGAGAATAATACACCATACACTACTAGGGATTTTAAAACGTTGCAGAGACCCGCTAGGTAAAGGGCTTGAGAACTTGTCGAAAAACACTTCCCTAAAATGAACTGAAGCAAAAGAAGACCTCGTGGCGTTGACTGTTTTGATCTTTAACTACAATATCATAAGCAAACCAACTAAATTCACTCACATCATCTGTGCCGCATTCAAAGTAAACCTCATGTCCTAGTTTTCCAAGTGAATTTATTGCACGGACGAGAACTAACAGCACCATTAACAACTAAACAAAGCCAGTACCAATCAGCTCAGTCGGCTGCAAAACCACTTTCATGACGATCGGTAGACCGTTTGTAGGTCCTCAAGGTCGACTGGAGGTCATCCGAAGAATACAAGTCTGCCGCCCAAAAACAGCATCCTAGTTTGGCAAAGCAGATAAATCACAACTAAAATGGGTGAAAGTATAGTATAACGACAGAGGCGGAAGTCAGGTATATGTACTGCCTTGAAATACTCTGATGCTAACGAGAAAACAGTATTTAGTTATAAAACGATCAATCACTAAAAAAGATATAATTATATTTAGTGAAAAGCGTGACATGAATAACGAACTTTTATATATTAATTATTAGAGCTTTCGTCATTAGATGACTGCAGCTATATAGCGAAAATGGATTTCTAGACTGAATCTGACTGGTTCGTCCAATAACTTTACTTCTTCCTAGATAAGTCCCTAAGAATTTTTGAACGCTGTTTTGTGACCTTACGACAAAGTTCAGATATAACGCATTGTAGCTCATCTAAGACCCTACTCCATCTACTTTCATTTCCCATCTCCATATTTTATTATTCTGTGGTCTGTGTTGTTACTGTCTATTGCTTACCTTATTAAATGTGCTTGCTGAATCGTCAACTCGCTTTTCTTATTCAAATTGTTCTTCACTTTTCCAAATTTCTTTGTGTATGCTATTGCACATGTTCCCGTAGTAGCCAGATTACTTGCAGACTAGACTCAGACCACCATACAAACAGTGAGCAGCAAAAATTCTTTTGTACACTTCTGTAAATGCCCTGAAATAATCTAAGAGTGATAGTTTTATATGTGTTACGCACTCCGTCCCTTTACTGTAGATTGTATGTAATAATCAAATCAACAGTATTTATACACTCTAATTTCACACACATAACCCTGGAACACCTCTTAAGCTGGTGACACTGTATTTTATGGATGACCTAATCATATCATGTCTTTATGATTTCCACCCGAAACGCGTTTTTTCAAACAGACCAAGTACGTTTCCGCATCATATCGGATGATAAGTTGTAATGATAACTTCAACTCCGAACTTCTAATCTTTATTTAAAATACTTAACCCAGGCAAGAACAGTCTATTGTGACCCTTATAAGAGCGTGAGAAGTCGGATATTGTTTATCGACGCGGAAAAGTTTGTATCATTGCTTCTTCATACCAGTCAGAGAAAAGTGGATAATTTTTAAGTAAAACCACGAGACCACCAGTGTAAGACTCCTACTGAAGACTTGGAATCATCGAAAGGCCATTCTGTCCTAATATAGGACTTCTCAGTGGTCCGCATCCACGATCCCGCACGTGGGGATTCGGCGCTTCACTCAGTTTAAAGATGTCACAGATATCTAGGTTTTGATAACGCCTTGTCCTCAACAACCTTACAGTCGAGTATCCTAAACATAGCCAATCCAGAAATTATAAGTGAAGGAGTTCCAAAATACATTTTTGGTTGACAATTGGTGTTTTGAGAAGTACGTGGTCTGAGCTGGCTAGTTGATTCGATGGATGCGCAGCACGGTATGAGCACTCGTGATCTGTGAGAATAATTGACCAAACAACGTCAACCAGTGTTTATCCAATAAAACCAATGACGTCGAAGACATGAAGAGTTATGGTCTTATTCAATATCAGTACTGATAATAGACCCATACTCAATATTGTAGAATTGTCACGACGTGACTTCCTAATCTATAAGATCTTACCTGAAAGTTACGTCATAGTCCACAGTGACTCGTCCTATCCTGACAACCAACAATATGACGTCTAGCGCTTCCGAAGAAGGTCTAAAGATAAGCATATTAATGAAAGGATAGGATTTGTATTGAAGATATTTTATATTGTTTGCCTGGAGGCGAACCATAGAGCAATAAACTGTCAAGTACTGAGACCATGTACCGTCGAAGGATGTGGATGGAGACACCACACCTTGTTACACAGGAAGCGGGTAGAGAAGAGGGATGGTAATAGTAATGCCCACATTAATATTCAACTCTGTACTGAGGAAAGTGTTAAGCGTGTACAGGAAGAAGAAATATTTGCAATAGTTCCTGTGTCGGTAAGAAAAATGGAGAAAGGTTGGTGGAGACCTGTGCTTTCCTAAATAGTGGCTCAGACGCCTCACTTATTAAAGAAGATCTAGCTAGAAAGTTGGGTTTAGAAGGAGAGTCTGTAGGAAGTAATTTCCTACAGGTGTAATACTTAACTATTCTCTAGACTATCGAGCTCATAGTCTTGGTTTAGCCTAAGTCAGAGCAAGTAAGCTATTTGGCTTGATAAACTTCATCTGTTTCTAAAACGTTAAGTAACACTGTTAGTATACAAATAAACAATGCACCCTATTAAACAGAGAAAAGAAGAGACATAAATAACATACCAAACAGTAACTATAGGATTGGAAAAATGAGTCAACGAAGCGAATAATGTTTTGTGATGAACGTTGATTTATGGTTGGTGAACAAGTAAGGCGTAGCCATACAAAGTCAAGGAAAGTTAACGTGGTTGCGGACATTCCATAATATCATTGGTTTGTTCGTTTATCGATCACACTTCAAAGAGTCCAAGACGCTTTTATTAAAATCGCTGAATAGCCAGTCCACATTTCATTCAACTAGAATTTTCCTCCTCAAACTTCTCTTCATCAATCAAACTTCCAAAGTTGGTGACAGTCAAGATGTTACTTATGTTACGTAGGACGGTACCAGCAACATCGCAGACGGCATCGTGGTGTCACTTACGCGGCGTGATCCTCCCAAGAATTGACAACGAAGACTACTGTTTGGCTACAACCCACCTGAATAACATGAGACAAAGGAGAAGAGCGTGCGAAAGTCTAACAAATCATACTCTATAAAAACTTTTGGGGGGGATGTTGTTTGAACCTTACATTGGGACCACGAGAAATATGGGTATCATAAATTATCTATCGTCTAAAATGAACTAGAAACCAGATTCGGCCAGTTACATAAGATGGACTTGGAAGTAGCGAATGGCCACGCGCCCATGTCGTTTGATCGTAAAGCCTTGAATGCTATGTCCATATCTATGCAGTTAGTGAACAGGAATTACCGAATAGCTTTTTCCCGGTGTCACCAACAAAGCCTACCTAATAATAGAAACTAGTGATGAGTAGACTAAATTACTTGAGGAACCGGCTCATTCGTGACCAGAGGTTGCGTAAGGAGTTTGTTAATGTGATGGCACAGTATATAGAACGGGGCTGCGCCAAAAAGGCTACAGAGAACTCCACTAGGTTTTTGTTTTGCTACTTTCCGCACCAACCTGTCTCACATCCGAAAAAACTTAATAAGCTGAGGATCGTATTCGACTGTGTAGCACAATACGCCGGGACGTCCCTGAATGAAAATTTGCATTCTGGTTCAGATTTAGCTGACGATCTGGTAGATGTCCTCACCAGATTTCAGCCACGACCAATAGAACTCACGGCAGATATTGAAGCTACGTTTCATGGAGTAATTGTCCCACCAATTGATCGCAATGCCCTTAGATATATATGGTGGCCGTAAGGTGACATAAGAACTGATCCAGAAACCTATAGGATGAAAATACACTTGTTTGGTGCCACCTCCTCATCAAGTTGCGCAACGTTTGCTTTACAAAGAACTATCCTAGATAACGAGGCTAAGTTTTACGAATGTACTATACAGACAGCAAAGTAATAGCTCTAAATTGACCATTTAATATACTCTTTGCTGAAGGAATAGATACGTTCAAGGGGCTTTGACCTAATCAAGTAGGTCAGCAAAAACGTTGAATTAACAAAATTAATTTCGAAGGAAGACTGCATAGAAAGAAATGTAGACATCTGTTTATCTATGGGAAGAAGTGAAAGAACTCTAGGAATAAAGTAGAATGTTTAAGGGATATTGAACAATCGATCATTAGTAAAGCTAGATAATGGCTTTGATGATCCGGATGTACTTACACCTGATAAGTTATTGTTAGTTAATAGAGGTGTATCATTCGACGTGCTTATATAACAGAATATGGAAAGAAACGTGACCACTAGGCAACCTATAATGGAACAGATGGTTTAGGGAGTACCTACCAACCATTCAGGCGAGATTCAAATGATTGGACATTAGAAGAAATCTACAACTGGGAGATTTAGTGTTAGTAAGCAGTACTGGCTCACCGAGTAATCTGTGGCCGAAAGCTATGGCTAGAGAGGTCACTTGTGGTCACGGTGGACAGCGGCGAAGCCTGGACGTGGTGTCCGCCTGGGGGGATGTTAGTTATATCCATAGTTAACCAGTCAACTCGTTACTTAAGCCCTCACCACGTCAATCTGGTCTGATATGTCTGTTGCATGTGACTCGCCAATTGAAGGACATTGTTGTCATATTATATTAGTTTGACACGTAATTTTTATTCATTTTGATAAGACATGCAATACTGGTGGGTATGTTTATGCGTTTCAATTAATGACTATAACTCTTTTAATTAATGTACTAACCAAATTGTTATTTTTACGTTTAGAAACAGATAAAGTTTGGAGGCAAGTCGGTTTTGTTGTGACTATAGCTTTCACATAGACTCTGGGGTCACCAGTAGTGCGTTTACAGTTCTAGTAGTATATCCGTAGGACAAATTAAGTCCTACAAAAGCATCGTGCACCTTTTGAAGGAGCTACAGACAGAAGATTTATGTGAAGAGGCTCTCATCTATGGCTCGCCGACCAAAGACTTCTCGTATGCGTGGTAACATTCCTGTCGCTGAGCTATGTCGTAATTCTACACCAAGGGAGAGTTGACCTGACCTTTGTCTATCGGCTAGATCTTTCCATTTAAGGATGGTTTTTTTCAAGTTATCACAAGGTTCGGAAACATCACTAGTAAATATACTAGATGTAACGTTCCCGTTAAAATCGTGCAGAATTGCCTGGCCACTGCGATGGATTATGCACATGAGTCCATAACGCCGTGGTTACAGAAGTCAGATATTGATTTGCGGAACCAGGCTTCAACATTATCTAGTCAGAATAGTACAAATTGAAAGGTGTGGCTCATATGCGTCCTAATCTTTAACAGTTTGGGTGCTTGTACTGTCATAATG